GCTCCGGGCAGCGCGGCCCGCGGGCGGCGGCGGCCAGGTTCCAGGCCACGAGGGCCCCGGCCGCCGCGGCCGCCGCCAGGAACACAGCGGCCCCGCACAGGACGAGCGCCCGCCACGCGCGCCCGGGCCCCGGCCGGGCCTCCGACCCCCGCTCGGCCTCCGACCCCTTTCCCGCCTTGGACCCCGACTCCGGCCCGACCTCCGACCCCGGCCCGGCCATGCCCCGCCCGGCTCTGCCCGGCGCCACGGGCCTCTAATTGGCACCTCGGGCGAGCGCCGGGCGGGCGGGGTGACCCCGGGTGGCCCCGGGCCGCCCACCCCGAGGCCCGGGCCCGCCCCCCGCCCCCGGCGGCCGGTCTCCACGCGGGGCCGCAGCAGCCCCCGGCCGGTGGGGCCCCTCCGCCTCCACCCTTCACCTTGGGATGCTCCGGGACAGCGGAGACCCCACCGAGGGTGAGCTTCGGGTCTGGGCAGCTGCAGGCCCCCGGCCCAGTACTTGGGCAGCAGCCATCCATCGTAGCCGGCCGAGATGACGGCCACACCGGGGTCCCCATCCCTCCCAGCCCCTCCCAGCCTCAGGTTAAATGGGTCACCTCGGACAGTAGCCGAGGCTTCTCCCTCCTCTCTTGCCGGACCCTTTACTGGAAATGAGCCTTTTCTTTCTTCTTTGTACCTGGATGTCTGTGTGGTTTTCTGGCAAAGTCTAACACCGGGTACCCGCCCTCTGGCTGGGTCACCTCTCCCTGGCTGGTGTCCCCTCCTCTAGCAGCCCAGGCCCCCGTCAGCCCCCAGGGCCCTTCCTGACTGGGGGAGGGGGGTAACAGGTGCCAAACCCAGCCCTGTTCAGCCAAAGCACAGGCAGCTCTGGGAAGAGCGTCTGCTCTGCTCATTCCAGATGAAGAAAGACTGAGAGGCAAGTCACATGCCTGGGACCGGGGAGTGGGCACGCTCGGCAGCCAGATCTCCTGGGGAGCGGCCACCCCAGAGAAGAAGGGAAACTGATGCCCACATGAGGCTCTGGGACCACCCAGGTCATTCACCTGACCAGTAACTTCCTGACCTCAAGGGGCCTTAGTCCTCGTGGGTGGGGCAGGAGGGGAAAACGAGGCACGGTGGACAGCAGCCTGGAAGTCAGGACACAGAAGCACCGTCTTCTTTGCTCTAACCCTGGCACCCTTTAATCAGCTGGAGTATTAAGAAAAAAAGAAAAAGGCGAAAACAGCTTCTCCATCTGACCTTGCCCGCTGGCCCCTAACAATCAGTGTGTGAGACCGGACATCATAATAATAAATTTAAAAAACAAACAAAAATGTATCCTGGAGAAACAAATACTTGAAAAATGACCCCTCTAGGCAAAAAGTGTTTATCTACAAGGATAAACATCTGTGGCAGGAGGAATTCCTTATCTCGAGGGTAAACACCAGCTTTTAAATATTTGACAGGCTGAGAATGTGGCTTACCAGTAGCATGCTTGCCTAGCCTGCATAAAGCTCTGGGTTTGATTCCTCAGTACCACATACACAGAAAAAGCCGGAAGTGGCCCTGTGGCTCCAGTGTAGAGTGCTAGCCTTGAGCAGAAGCTCGGTACAGATCAGTTTCAGAGACCCTGAGCCCAAGGGGTCGAAGTGTGGCAACGAGGTGATCAGCCCGGTGCAGTGGCTGCCTGTCATCCCAGCTACGCAGGAGGTGAGATCTAAGGATCGTGGTTTGAAACCAGCCCAGGCAGGGAAGTCGTGAGACTCATCTCCAATAAACCAGTCAAAAAACTCAGTGCTTATCTTATATAATCTGATATATGTTTCTGCAGCTGTGTCTGCTGCTCTAGTAACTGGCTAATAATGCTCAGAAAGTAAAGATATGGGGGGGGGGATGGGAAGGGGAAACAAAGGAGAAGGCTCCAATGCTTGATAAGAAATGTACTCATTATCTTGCCCATGTAATTGTAACCCCTCTGTACAGTATTTTCACAATAAAAAAAATAATTTGTAAAATACTAAAAAAAAAAAAATAAAGATATGTCTTGATATTCAGCTTCCAGCAGGAAGTACAGAACACACTGCAGGCACCCAATGCATTATTGAAGATCTTACCAAGCCTTTCATGGAAGAATTACTAGATAATGATTAAATCACAATATGCATTTCTCCTGTCCTCTTACCCCACCATACTGAATACATGTTAAGAACTGGTTACAGGAGAGGGTAACAATGCTCAATAGGAAGTGTACTCATTACCTTGCTCAAGTAGCTGTAACCCTCTGTATAGTATCTTTACAATAAAAAATTAAAAAAAAAACTGGTTACATAGGAATTTACAGAAATGAAAAGTACCATACTGGCTTATTCTACACTTTTTTCTATGCAGACTTCCCTCCACCCTTCTGTGCTCATCTGGCTGCCCTGTAGGAATCTCTGGCTGGGTTTTTCAAAGGAAGGTATTAGTAATGTGCGCCATAATTCTGCTAGGTGACACGGTGTCTGCTTCCAGGCTTCAGCGCTTGCAAGAGTATGATAATGCTGTCTTTATCTTCATCCCTTGAGGATTCAACATGGAAGTTTTTGAGGTGTTTGTTTGAATATTCTTTATTACTGGTCCACAGTATTAGAAATAAAGTTATTATTATTACTAGCTGGAAGTTAAGTGTTCCTACTTCATTGTGCTTTCATCTTGGCATAAGATTCCCTTTGGAACTTGGTCTGTAGCCAGACACATCTGTCCTTTGGCATGTCTGAAACAGATGTTATGATAAATTTCATTATTCAGGGCTGGGAAGGTGGCTCAGTGGTAGAGCGCTTGCCTGCCATGCCTGAGGCCCTAGGTTTGATTCCTCAGCACCACATAAGCAAAAAGTCAGAAGTGGTGCTGTGGCTCAAGTGGTAGAGTGCTAGCCTTGAGCTGAAGAGCTGAGGGACAGCGCCCAGGCCCAGACCCCCCCAAAAAAAACCAGACCCCCCTCAAAAAATTCATTATTCATATGAAAAAAGAAATCAGTGCCTCAAGTAGTAGAGCGCTCGCTTTGAGCTGAAGAGCTGAGACAGCACCTAGGCCCAGGCCCAGAGTTCAATCCCCAAGACCACAAAAAAATAAAATAAAAAAGAGCAGAGATAAACACCTGCTCAGGAGTGGGAAGGTGGCTCAGTGGTAGAGCGCTTGCCTCGCATGCACAAGGACCTGGGTTTGATTCCTCAGCACCACATAAGCAGAAAAGGCTGGAAGTGGGGCTGTGGCTCAAAGTGGTAGAGCACTAGCCTTGAGCTGAAGAGCTGAGGGACAGCGCCCAGGCCCAGAGTTCAGGCCGCATGACAGGCAAAAAACAAAAACAAAAAAACCTGTTCACAGAACACTGACCCGGCGGTTATCATATAAACACCCCTGCTGTGAATGTGCCCCAGACTTCCTGCTTGTCTGTTGTCTGTCTGATTACTCAATAAAGCTGTAAGTTTCCTTAGCATTATAACTCGTCCACACTTTCTTATTCTTCCATCAAAGTTAAGGACTCCAAGGGACACATCCCTACTTTCAGAGGGCAACTGTCAGTGTCCATCAGGGCCAGGTGACATGAGGCTCCCATGAAACCACGGGGTCCCACTTCGCAGCCAGGAGTCAGCACAATCAATGGCTGGAGGACTGACCCCACCCTGTTTTGCCAGGTGCTCACAGACACCAGGCAAGCCACCAAAGACATGCACACACTCCCGGACACACTGCATTGTGGGCCTGGCCTATAAGGCTCTGAGACCACTCTGTGAGGCCAAGAAAGGGTTAAGAGGGTGAAAGTCAAACTGTCTGGGCAGGACAGATGTGGAGCTGTGTGAACATTAAAAAGCGTGAGACCTTGGATGAGGGGCACTTACCCGCGTCTCTGCCTGCACCTGCAGTCACCCACCACCCACTATACTCAGGTAGCCTCAGTCTGCTTGCTCAGACCCTTTGAAACCCCTAGCTCCAGCCCTGCCCCTGACACACAATCTCCAAGCCCTAGGGAAGGCTGTGTCCTTGTCCCGTGCTGCTCTATCTCAATAAACAGTACTCACCTGTGGAAGGTCGCTTCTGACCTGTTTCCTTCCTTTCTCCTCCTTTTTCCTAACAATGGTCACAAACTCAGTGGAGCAAAGGGAGCAGCTGTTCAGGAGGCTGGTTTGGGGTTTGCTCCCCATCCCGGGTTTAGGGTATGGTCCCTCAATCCAGTAACTGGAAATACAGGCAGGTTGTTTCCTCTACCAGCACTTTAACTGCCTCTTACTCAGAACAAGTAGTTAAAATGTAACACTTTGCATGATGATGAGGGGAAACAAATTTATCCTCCCCTGTGTCAGCCATCAGGGTCCTGGTTTTCCAGGGAAACAGCTGGTTTCTGCATGGCGGAGTGGGGAGGAGAAAAGAAGGAAGGAAGGAAGGGAGAGGAAGATTGGTTCCCCGGCCTCAGAGGCTGACCCGGACTGGGTAGTGAGGGCCTGGGGCTTGAGGGGTAGAGGAGCTGGGGCAGCGGCGGAGGTGGGCGACTGGGGGCTGGGAGGGGCAGCTCGGGGTCCCCATGGGAACGTGGGGGCCTTGTTCGTTCCACTAACCATCTGAGCACTGGACCTGAAGTCTCTGCCCCAGGACTGCTGGCCTGGTACCAGGGACAGGAAATGGCGTGGGGGAAAAAAGCTGGGATTCCAGGAGGCTTTGGAGGAAGGGAGATAAGAGAGAGGAAAGGGCAGGAGGGGGGTCAAGGGTCCGAGGGGTTGTGGCTCCCAGGGCTGGAGGACTCTAGAAGAGGGTTCCCTAGGGCGGATACTGTAAATAAGTAGGAGTTCGCAGGATGGGGAAGGCCTGGATGGACCAGGTGTGGAAGACCCAGTTTCAGACCCAGGCCGGAACTCCTGTGGGAGGCAGGGCAGGGGCCCAGGGGTGCGGAGACCCAGGGACGGGGGGAGGGAGGAGGCGCTGGGGCAGGGCGCACAGGACACTTCAGGCCTTAGAGTCGTGGTAACTTTATTCGGTGACAGTGACCCCCGCCCCGCCCCCAAGCTGCATTCCTGCTCCGCAGAATCCCCCCTCCCGCCGCCCCGAGAACCCCAGAAGGCAAAAGCTGATGGAACCGGATCACAGCGGGCAGGGTGTGACCTAGGAGACAGGTAGAGAGGGACTCAGGGCGCGCGCCAGGCCGGGGCGGAGGCCCCGCCCGCACCGGCCCCGCCCGCACCGGCCCCGCCTCCAGGAGCAGGCCCCGCCCACACAGACCCGCCTCCAGGAGCAGGCCCCGCCCACACAGACCCGCCTCCAGGAGCAGGGCCCCGCCCACACATCCCAGTCCCGACCTCCCACTGGCCCAGCCAGCCCATGCCCCGCCTCTAGGCGCGAGTCCCCGCCCCCGAGCACCACGCCCGCGCGCCCCTCCTCACCCGCTGCTTGCTGCGGTCTCAGGACCGCGGAGCGCCCAGGCTCAGGAGCAGAAGGCCTGCGGTCACCAGGAAGCCAGGGGCGGCCGGGCCGCGGGCCGCGCTGCGCTCCGCGCTGCGCTCGGGTCCCAGGGTAGAGGCCTCGGCCTTTGCCGTCGTCGTCGGGGTCCTGGGGACAGAGGCCGCGCGGCTGCGGAGCTGCTCGGGCGACCGCCGCGCGGAGTCGCGGTCCTGTCTGGAGGTCGGGGTCCTGTCTAGGGGTGGGGTCACCTGGGGCGGGGTCACCTGGGGGCGGGTCCTGTCTGGGGGCGGGGTCACCTGGGGCGGGTCCTGTCTAGGGCGGGGCCACACTGGGCGGGTCCTTCTGGGGTGGGGTCACCTGGGGGCTGAGTCCTCCGAATGGGGTCCTGTCTGGGGGCGGGTCCCATCTGGGACGGGTCCTGTCTGGGGCGGGGTCACCCGGGGCCGGGTCCTGTCCTGTCTGGGGGCGGGTCCTGTCTGGGGGCGGGTCCTGTCTGGGGGCGGGGTCACCTGGGGCGGGTCCTGTCTGGGGGCGGGGTCACCTGGGGCGGGCCCTGCCTGGGGGTGGGTCCTGTCTGGGGCGGGGTCACCTGGGGCGGGCCCTGCCTGGGGGTGGGTCCTGTCTGGGGGCGGGGTCACCTGGGGCGGGTCCTGTCCTTCTGGGGGCGGGGTCACCCGGGGGCAGGTCCTTCTGGGGCGGGGGTCACCTGTCCCGTCTGCGGGGCGGGCGGGGCTCCGACCTAAGCCGCTCCAGTTCGGCCTCAGCGTCCTGCAGCCTCCGCCTCAGCCTCGCGTTCTCCTCTGGGAGGCGGGGGAGCGGAGCGGTGAGGAGGAGGGAGATCTGCCCCCCCCCCCGCCCGTCCGCCCCGCCGCCCTCTCACCCCGGAGGCCCCGGATCTGCTCCTGCCGCTCGCGGTTCTCGGAGTCCGTCCTCTCCAGGTCGGCGGCCAGAGCGTCCTGGAGACGCCACAGAGTCAGGCGCGTGCGGGGCGTGCGGGGCCCAGGCGGGGGAGGGGGGCGAGGCTGGTCGTGCGGGGCGGGGACCGGCGGGACGGAGCGTGCGGGGCCCGGGGGGCGGTGAGGCTGGGCGTGCGGGGCCGGCGGGGCGTGCGCGGTCCCGGCGGGGGGGGGCGAGGCTGGGCGTGCGGGGCGCGGGACGGCGGGGCGGGGCGTGCGGGGTCCCGGCGGGGGGGGGGGGAGGTTGGGCGTGCGGGGCCGGGAGCCGGCGGGGCGGGGCGTGCGGGCCGGGAGACGGGTGCGGCCCGGGCTCAGGCCCTGGGATCCGCGCGGGACGAGCTTCCCGGCCCGGGCGCGTTCCCGGACCTCCGGAAGGAAGTTCCCAGCGCCCCTCTCCCCGCGGTCGCGGGGCAGTGGCGGGGTCCGGGCCCTTCCCTCGGGGCTGTCGGGGGATCGGGCCCCACCGGCGGCTCCCCCCTCCGAGCCCGGCGGCTGCGGGCCGCGGTGCGGGGTCCGGCCCTCCCGTCGGGGGGCGGTGTCGCGGACCCCCGCCGTCGGGGACGGTTTCTGGCTCCCCCCGCGCCCCGGTTTACCAGAGTCCGGTTGCAGGCGCGGGCGCGGTCCCGGAGCGCGGGGGCCTCCCCGCAGCCGCGGGCGGGGGCGCAGCGGGCCCGCACCACGCCCAGCGCCGCGGCCAGGCCGCCCGCGAGCAGCAGCAGCAGCAGCAGCGCCGCCCGCCCGCAGCCGCGCGGGGCCTCCCGGGGCCACGGGCCCGCGGGGGCGGCGGGCGCGGGCGGCCGGTGGTACAGCGCGGGCGCCATGCGGTCCGGCCGGCGCCGCGTCCCCGCCACGCGCCTCCTCCGCGCGCCCGGCCGCCAATGGCCGCTGACCTCCGCCCCGCTGACCCCCACGACCCCGCTGACCCCGCCCCGCCCGGCCGCTGGGTTTCGGTTTCCCGGAGGGGGCGGCCCCGCGTCCCGCCCCGCGTCCCGCCCCGCGTCCCGCTGCTCAGGCCCCGGGAAACTGTGGCAGGGCGCCTGCGCCTCCCTGGGGGCCGGAGTCGTTTGAGGAAACTGAGGCCTGCCGAGGGGACGCGGGGCTCAGACACGGAGCGGCCGGCTGCGGGTCAGAGACGGGCAGCGGGACCGAGCCTTCCCCCGGGACTGACACTGTCTGTCTGTGTGCAAGCCTCCGCAGGCCTGTGTCCCCTCACCCCAACGACTGACACTGTCTGTCTGTCTGTCTGCAAGCCTCAGGTGTGTGTTCCCTCACCCCAAGGACTGACACTGTCTGTCTGTCTGCAAGCCTCCGCAGGCGTGTGTCCCCTCACCCCAAGGACTGACACTGTCTGTCTGTCTGCAAGCCTCCCCAGGCGTGTGTCCCCTCACCCCAAGGACTGACATGTCTGATAGCTTAACAAAGATTAATTGGACTTTGCCAGAGAACCACGCAGACATCAGAGACAGAGGGAAAGCGGCCTGCAGGGCCCCTTCGCACAGGGAGAAGTGGCCGGCTGTGGTCCGAGGTGCCCCTGGGGTGTTAGGAGGGGCTGGGGGAACCCCAGTGTGGACGTGAGGGCCAGGGCTCCATCATGGCGGGCTAGATTCATGGCTGCTGCCCAAGTAGTAGACAGGGGTCCCGCAGCTGCCCTGACCCGGTCGCTCTAAGGGGCTCCCGCTGCCTCATGTGGTGGCAGCTGCCCCAGGCAGTGCCTTCCCAGGGTACCAGCTGGAGGCCATGGCTCCGCCTGGTGCTGCCTAGGAAGGGAGAATGCCAAGCTGTGGCGAAGGGAAGGAGTGGACTCAGTTCACTAACACTCTCTGTCTGGACTCCAGCCTTCCTGGGAGAAATGCTGGCCCCACACTTTAGCACCTCCCTTAGTTCAGGGACCAGGGTGCACTCTCACCTGGAAACGCAGGAAGTCACACCAGGTGTGATTGGAGCCGAGGCAAAGCACCTGTCTATGCACAGCATGGAGGTCAGACCTCCAGCCTCACCCCAGCCACACCCCAGCGGCCCAAGGGGCTGCGTGTGCGCCCACACTCCCCCAGGGTGCCCCTGCCCTTCCGAAGCTTGTCTGTCTGCTTGCCTGCTTGTTTAGGCACTCAGGGAAGCTCTGTCACGTGTTCTTAACCCCCGGGACTTGTCTGCAAGTCCTGATTCTGCGATCCAAGTCAAGGGCCCTAAGAGTTCCGACATGTCCAGGGAAAGGAGGCTGAGTGGGCCTGGGGCAGGATAGGTGGGGGAAAGTGAGGCATGGCGGCCGTGGCCAGCCAGGTCAGAGCCAGCACTGCCTGTGGGAACATGGAGGCTCTGTCTGCTGTGTGTGTGGGGAGGGGGGGGTCTGGTCGTGGGCCTGAACTATAGGCCTGGGCACTGTCCCTCAGCTCTTCAGCTCAAGGCTAGCACTCTACCACTTGAGCCACAGCGCCACTTCTGACTTTTTTCTTTTTGCTTATGTGGTGCTGAGGAATCGAACCCAGGGCCTCAGGCATGCAAGGTAAGCGCTCTACCACTGAGCCACCTTCCCAGCCCCTCTGTCTGCTTTGTGTGAGCCCTCACACTCCTTCCAAGGTCCCAGGAAACAAGACCAGCAGCTCCCTCCACCAGATCTTCCTGTGGGCTCCAGGGCACCGGTATGCTCTGAAAACCAAAAGATACGCCAGGTGCCGGTAGCTCACACCTGTCATCCTAGCTACTCAGGAGGCTGAGATCTGAGGATCGAAGTTCAAAGCCAGCCCAGGCAGGAAAGTCCATGAGACTCTTATCTCCAATAAACCAGTAGAAAACTGGAAGTGGTGCTTTGGCCCAAGCAGTCAGGTGCTTGCCTTGAGCTGAAGGGCTAAGGGACAGCACCCAAGCCCAGAGTTCAACAACTGACCAAAAAAAAAAAAAGGACATCAAGAAAGGAAAAAAGAGACTTGTATCCCAAAAAGCAGATTCTGGGGAAAACAGCTTCTTTTGCATCAGAAGTCAGGAGCCTGGGACTGAGCCCCCAAGCACAGGGTCCCCCGTTTTAGAGGGAAATTTCACAAAGCCCCACCTGAGGCTCTGAAATGAGCGGAGCAGGCCGAGCCATGGCTCCGTTCTGGGTGCAGTGTGGAGGGCTTCCTGCTGGTGGCCAGGGGAGCCAAGTTCACTGCCTCTGATGGCGGTGGCCAGCCTGCCTGATAGGTGGGGAGCCGGTGGTCTGGTGGTCTCTTCAGCCACAGTGTGACCACAACCCAGATTCACGTGGATTGGCCACGTCCAGGTGTCTGTGCTCAGCTGGGCTTGGGGACCCCAGCCTCCTGGGAGGCCTGGAGGAGCCCCCCAGGCTGGGTGTCCCCTGGACCTCTGCAGTGGCTCCAGAACAAGGACTGTGGGGGAGTCTGGGGGCAAGGCCAGGGCCTTGGTTTGGGGATGAGTCTCACGAACTTTCCTGTCCCAGCCAGCTTCAAACCTGTATCATCAGATCCCAAGCTCAGGAGCAGCTGTGATTACAGGTGTGGATAGCAGAGCCCAGACAGAGCCTGGTTCTTATCTCCTGCAAACAAGACTTGTGAGACGTTTTAGGGCACATACAAGAAGGGTCCAAGCCAAGAGCCAGAAAGTATGCGAGTCACACACATGATCCAAATCAGACCTGGCACCAAAATGTGGTATGGGGGGTTCTGTTGGGGTTGAGAGGGAAGTTCAGAACCCTCACACACTTCCTGCTTTGACATGAGTCTGGGCAGGAGTAATGACGATAACAGGCACAGCTTGGGCTGAGAACAGCGGGGAGACAGAGAGGCCTGTGCACTACAGTCAGGACACACAGCACAAGTTAGTCTCTGTCTACTTTAAGCAGTTCCAGCATAAAATTTTTTTTTTTTTTTGTCAGTCGTGGGCTTGAACTCTGGGCCCGGGCGCTGTCCCTCAGCTTTTCAGCTCAAGGCAAGTGATCTACCACTGGAGCCACAGCGCCGCTTTTGGTTTTCTGGTGGTTTATTGGAGATAAGTCTCACAGGCTTTCCTGCCCGTGCTGGCTTTGAACCTTGATCCTCAGATCTTAGCCTCCAGAGTAGCTAGGAGGACAGCATGAGCCCCCGGTGCCCGGCTGGAACTGTCGTGTCAGACTCCTGTTGTAAGTAAACTTTTTGAGTAAGTGGAGTATGAATAAAGAGCCAGAAGGTGAACTCCGCAGACCGGCGGGTTTCATTCGAGTTGTACACTTGGGAAGGGCAACCAGGCCTCCCCCAGAGCCTGGCTGTGCGGGAGATGGCACCCACACAGCTGATTCCCTTCTGCCAGGCAGAAGTCGGGGCTGCGGAGGCAGGGTGAGGCCGACTGAAGCTGAAGCAGATTCATTTTCCTTCCCCACTCGGTGTTCTCGTTTCCACATGGTTCCATGGGGAGGGGCCCCCTGTGGTGCCCACCCCCGGCACAGCCCCAGGGCTCCTCCGGTTTCTGGTGTTGTCCGTGTGTACCTCAAATTGCTCCAGCTTTGGCTCGTCATCCGTGTAGCTCTGCAAAGCTCTGGAATGTTCCTCAGAGAGGAGGGAGCCCAGCACCCCTGCGGGTGTGTGTGGGGTGACCCCCTCTCTCACTCTGTATGGCATAGAGACTGGGCTTTACCCCCAGACCCCAAGGCCAGGAGTTCCAGCTCAGGTCTGGCCCCACACCCCCACAGGCCATCGATGAAGAATTACTGAGCCCCAACAGTGGGACTCAGAGCTGTCCCCGCTGCCGCCCACTGGGCCATCTCCCCGCTTTCCCCCTGAACAAACGCACTCCGGGGGCCTTGTGAGAGGCCCACACTAAGACCACTGCTGATGCTGCCTCCCTGACCAACACAGATGCTGTGCAAACCTTGAAACGCCTCAGTCAAAGTAACATAGCTCCCGACCTGGCCTCCACCCACCGGCCTCCACCTCACCGGCCTCCTGCCTTCACTCTTTCCATCTCATATTGTAAGGGGTGGGGACACCATTCCCAGGCTTCTCTCCCCAATCAAGCCTGTTGCTCACCTTTTCTTTATTCTGATACCCTTGTGACTTGGCTTCCCAACAAATGGTGCTGAACCAGAGACAGTTCCCTGGAGGACTGTCCTTGAAGGGGACTCTTGTTAGAAATGCACCATTCTCTGGTGTCAGAAACGAACGGACACACAGGAGACAGAGGAGACGTTGTCGAGGCAATTTACTTTTGTGCAAAAGCGTGCAATGCCATCAGTCTACGCGGAGCTGGGCAGACATGCCAGGCAGGGCGGTCCGCTAGGATTTATCCCAACCCAAACTGCTCCTCCCCATCAAGAAGCTAGGCTCACAGTCTGACACAACTGATTACCAGGGCAGAGAGGGGCCATTCTTTCATTCCCATCCAAGTTACTTTTCTTGTTTTCCGTGCCTGCCAGCTGGGAGTCGGAAGCTGGAGGAGGTCAGCAGAAAGCTCCCACTCACATTCCTTTTAACTCCACCAATAAGATTTTTCCTAACAAGCAACACACCTGGTATTTGCAGCTTTATTTTTTTAAAACTCCTTTGATAAAGATTTGTCTTCTACCAGGCACCGGCGGCTTACGCCTGTAATCCTAACTACTCAGGAAGCTGAGATCTGAAGAGCACAGTACAAAGCCAGCCTGGGCAGGAAAAATCCGTGAGACTCTAATCTTCAACGAACTACTCACAAAAAGCCAGAAGTGGTGCTGTGGTTCAAACAGCAGAGCACTAGCCTTGAGCAAAAGAAGCTCAGGGACAGTGTCCAGGCCCTGAGTTCAAGCCCCAGGACCAGCAAAAATAAAGATGTATTTCCCTAACATGGTTAGCTGGTCACAAGCAGTACAGATAATAGCTACAATTGCAGTGAATAAAGCAAACAATCCCAGGAAATATCAATATACAATACCAAATACACTTTGGTTTGACAGAAAAGAATACTTTCTCTCACATACCCACCTCCTCTCCTTCCTCCCCAGCCTGAAGGAGGCCTGGCTGCCCTTCCCGGGCTTCCGCTCCCCAATAAAGCTTGTTGGGCTGCTGAGTTCACTTTCTGCCTCTTCTTTATTCTGACACCCTCATGATTCAGTTTCCTAACAATGCTGAAGGCAGAGAGAGGTCATTCCTCACAGTGCAGCGGCGGGAGGACAGCGTGTGTGTGTGTCCTCACCTCTCCAGGGTGCAACCGTGGGCTTCAGGTAGCATGGGAAGGGTGGGCGTGCGTGGGGGTGGGCGTGCATGGGGAGGGGTGGATGTGCGTGGGAGTGGGCGTGCGTGGGGGGTGGATGTGGGTGGGGGTGGGTGTGCATGGGGAGGGGTGGACATGCGTGGGGGTGGGCATGCATGGGGAGGGGTGGACGTGCGTGGGGGGTGGGCGTGTGTGGGGGTGGGCGTGCATGGGGAGGGGTGGGCATGCGTGCGGGTGGGCGTGCATGGGGAAGGGTGGGCGTGCGTGGGGGTGGGCGTGCATGGGGAGGGGTGGACGTGCGTGGGGAGAGGTGGATGTGCGTGGGGGTGGGCGTGCATGGGGAGGGGTGGATGTGTGTGGGGGTGGGTGTGCATGGGGGGTGGGCGTGCATGGGGAGGGGTGGGTGAGCATGGGGAGGGGTGGATGTGCATGGGGGGTGGGCGTGCATGGGGAGGGGTGGATGTGTGTGGGGGTGGGCGTGCATGGGGGGTGGGCGTGCATGGGGAGGGGTGGGTGAGCATGGGGAGGGGTGGGTGAGCATGGGGGGCGGGCGTGCATGAGGAGGGGTGGGCTGCATGGGGGATGCTCACAGTTACCGCAGCCTGGTCACAGGTGTAGCCGCTTGACCACCAGCTCGGTCTTTGTCCTTGGAGGAGTCAGAGGCTGTTTATTAGTGGACTGGGACAGGAGCCAGTGGGCTCCTGAGTTTCGGGCTGTTTGCTTTAAGACAGTGAGGAGGCACGGCCTGAGCACGGGGCATTTGCCTTCCTTCCACACCGAGGCTCCTCTGCCTCCTGCAGAGGAGGAGCTGATAAAGGACCTGCAGAGGCAACAGCCCCAATCACAGGACACAGACACAGGTTGGGGGACAGAGCAGCTTCTGGGTGCCTCCTACAGCCTCTCGGAAGCCAGCTGTTCGATAATTCTGTGTGCACGCAGAGCTGGGATGGCCCTGGGGCCTTGGAGAGCAGGTGTGCTGAGCCACACCCCAGCCCTTCTAAATGCACCTGCGCAGGGGAAACTAGAAAGTAAGTCCTGGAGCGCGCTGGACGCCAATGGCTCTCACCAGTGATCCGAGCTACTCAAAGGCTGAGGTCGGCGGATAGCAGTTGAAAGCCAGCCTGGGCAGGAAAGTTCATGAGACCTTTACCTCCAGTTGAACCACCAAAAGCTAAAAGTGGAGTTGTGGCTCAAGTGGTAGAGTGCAAAAAGATCAGGGATAGGGGCACAGCCCTGAGTTCAAGGCCCAGGGCGGACACACGGACACACACACCCGCAGAAACTTCAAACAAGTAACCAACGAGTAACTTCTCTCACTGACATAAAGCGGAAGGCCACGGGGCAAGGCCACTCCGGGGGCCTGGGGGACACTGGCGCTCATCCCGCACCGCAAACCACAACCTCAGACTTGACCTCTGACCTCCCCAGGATACCGGCTACACCGGGTTGGCCATTCCCAGCCCCTCGGGGACCGCGGCCAGTCCCGGCCGGCGCCTGTCTGTCGGTCGGCATCCGTCTCTGACAGTCATCAGCGTCGGAGGCCAGAGGCCCAGGCCGAGAGCAACGCTCCAAACCCCGGCGCCGCACTAACAACGACGACGACGACAATCAGAACGCGACTGGGGCCCGAGTCCCCGACAGGCAGCCGAGGATCTCGGTTCGAAGCCAGCCCGGCCTAAAAGCCCCCGCGAGACCCCTACAGCTCCCAAGCACCGCCGGGAAGCCGGGCTGGCGCCGGCGCCCAGGCCCCGCGTTCGAGCCCCGCGACCGACCCAAGAAGTACGTGACCAAAGGCAGCGCCTCTGCCTTCGGAAGCTGAGAAACAGAACGCGGCTCCTCCCGCCATTCCCGCCCGTGTTCCGGGAGCGGGGGAGAGGGGGCGGGGCCGCCGCCGCGAGGAATCCTGGGAAATGTAGTCCCGGCAGCCGAGACCGCGCTTTCCCGGCGGAAGTGGCCGGGCGTGAAAAGACTTCCAGACCTTTTTCCGCAAACGTCGCCGCGGCGCACCTGGCGGCGCGTCAGAGCGCGGCGACGCCGCCTCGCGCGATTGGGCGGCAGCCTTCTGCGCACGCGCATCAGGCCTCGCAAGGCCTTCTGGGAGTTGTAGTCCGGCTCCTGTCGGAACTCGGCCGTCGGAGGTCCGAAGCGATCCGCGCCCTCTGGAGGCGCTTGGCTCCCGGGATGGATCCCGCGCCAGATGCGGCGCCGCTGTCCGGCCTGGTCTGGTCGTCGGCCTCGGCGCCCCCGCCGCGGGGATTCAGCGCGGTGAGCGACAGCGGGCCGGGCCGGGCTGGCGGGCGGCGGCGGGCGGCGGGCGGCGGGCGGGCGGCTGACCCGCGTCCTCCCCGCAGATCGCCTGCACCGTGGAGGGCGCGCCCGCCAGCTTCGGCAAGAGCTTCGCGCAGAAGTCCGGCTACTTCCTGTGCCTCGGCGCCCTGGGCAGCCTGGAGGTGAGCGGCGCCCCGCGTCTTCCCCGCATCTGCCCCGCCCCCCGCGCCCCGTGCCCGCGCCGCGTCTGCCCCGCCCCGCCCCGCCCCCGCCCCGCCCCGCCCCCCGCGCCCGCGCCGCGTCTGCCCCGCCCCCGCCCCGCCCCCGCCCCCCGCGCCCGCCCCCCGCGCCCGCGCCGCGTCTGCCCCGCCCCGCCCCCGCCCCCCGCGCCCGCCCCACGCGCCCGCGCCGCGTCTGCCCCGCCCCCCGCACCCGCCCCGCACCCTGCACCCGCCCCGCCCCGCACCCCGCGTCCCACCCCGCCACTGCCCCGTGCCTCGCACCCGCCCCGCCACTGCCCCGTGCCCCGCACCCGCCCCGCCACTGCCCCGTGCCCCGCACCCGCCCCGCCACTGCCCCGCGCCTGCCCGCACCGCGCACCCCACGCCCCGCGCCCGCCCCGCCACTGCCCCGCGCCCGCCCCGCCACTGCCCCGCGCCCGCCCCCACCCCGCGCCACGCCGCGTCTGCCTCCCTGCCCCCCCCTCCCCACCCCACGCCCCCTCCGTCCCGCGCCCCGCGCCTGCCCCGTCACGCTGACGCCCGCCCCGCCCCGCGCAGAGCCCGCAGGAGAACGTGGTGGTCGACATCCAGGTCGTGGCCGACAAAAGCGCGCTGCCCCCCCGGCTTCGCCCCTGTTTGCGACCCCCTGGACGCCAGTAAGACCCGCGCGTGGCGGGGCCGGGCTGGACGGGGCTGGACGGGGCCGGGCTGGATGGGGCTGGACGGGGCTGGATGGGGCCGGGCTGGAAGGGGCCGGGCTGGACGGGGCGGGGGCTGGACGGGGCCGGGCTGGACGGGGCCGGGCTGGACGGGGCCGGGCTGGACGGGGCGGGGGCTGGACGGGGCCGGGCTGGACGGGGCCGGGCTGGACGGGGCTGGACGGGGCCGGGCTGGACGGGGCGGGGGCTGGGCGGGGCCGGGCTGGACGGGGCGGGGGCTGGGCGGGGCCGGACGGGGCTGGACGGGGCCGGGCTGGACGGGGCGGGGGCTGGACGGGGCCGGGCTGGACGGGGCGGGGGCTGGGCGGGGCCGGACGGGGCTGGACGGGGCTGGACGGGGCCGGGCTGGACGGGGCCGGGCTGGATGGGGCTGGACGGGGCCGGGCTGGACGGGGCGGGGGCTGGGCGGGGCCGGACGGGGCCGGGGCCGGACGGGGCCGGGCTGGACGGGGCCGGGCTGGACGGGGCGGGGGCTGGACGGGGCCGGGCTGGACGGGGCTGGACGGGGCCGGGCTGGACGGGGCGGGGCTGGACGGGGCGGGGCTGGACGGGGCCGGGGCTGGACGGGGCGGGGGCTGGGCCAGACGGGGCCGGGCTGGACGGGGCCAGCCTGGGGCTGGACGGGGCCGGGGTGGCCACCCGAGCTCCCGGACCACGGGCGCCCCGCAGGCCACCGCGTCCCGGCCCTCGCCGCGCCTCTCCCCGCCGCCGTTGTCTCTTACATCTGGGTTTCTGGGGTGATCATGGACGCTGGAGAGGGCAGCTTTTCAGTAGGGCACTGGCCTACTGTTGGTGAGGGCCCTCCCTCCCCCTCCCTCCCCCTCCCCCTCCCTCCTCCTCCCTCCCCCTCCCTCCTCTCCCCTCCCCCTCCCTCCCCCTCTCTCCTTCCCCCTCCCCCTCTCTTCTCCCCCTCCCTCCCCCTCTCCCCCCCTCCCCCTCTCTCCTCCCCCTCCCTCTCCCTCCCCCCTCCCTTCCCCTCCCTCCTCCCCCTCCATTTCCCTTCCCTCCTCCCTTCTCCTTCCCTCCTCCCTCTCTCTCCTCCCCCTCCATTTCCTTTTCCTCCTCCCTTCTCCTTCCCCCCTCCCTCCCTTCCCTGCACTGGACTTGAACTCAGAGCCCTGCACTCCTGCTTACCACTGGGCTTGGTTGGAGATGAGTCTTGAAGACTTTCTTGCCCAACTTTGAACCTTGATCCTCCAAGTCCTGTATAGCTAGGGTTACAAACATAGACCATGAGCTGGGAAGGTGGCTCAGTGGTAGAGTGCTCGCCTCGCATGCATGAGGCCCTGGGTTCGATTCCTGCACCACATTAGCAAAAAAAGCCAGAAGTGGTGCTGTGACTCAAGGGGTAGAGCGCCAGCCTTGAGCTGAAGAGCTGAGGGGCAGTGCCCAGGCCCAGAGTTCAAGGCCCACAACATGGGCCTCAACATAAACCACTGGCACCTGCCTGGCTCCATTCTTGGCTTTTTTTTTTCTCACACTCTTTCTCTTTTCTCTTTGTCAGTCATGGGGCTTGAACTCATGGCCTCAGGGCCTGGGTGCTGTCCCTGAGCTTTTGGCTCAAGGCAAATTCTCTACCAACCACTTGAGTCCCAGCACAACTTCAGGTTTTCTGGTGGTTCCTTGGAGATAAGAGTCTCATGGGTTTCCCTGCCCGGGCTGGCTTTGAACCGTGATCCTCAGATCCCAGCCTCCTGAGTCGCTGGGATGACAGGCGGGAGCCACCGGCCCCAGCTTCTGGCTTTCTTTTTTTTTACAATTCTTTTTAAAAAGTGTAAAAACCCTTCTGACCTCAGCAGCTCTAAACAGGCTTTGGCTGGATTTGGTGAAGGAACTGTGTCTGCTGCCCCCTGGTGTCGAGAACTAAGGGTGGAGAGGTTTGGAAGAGTGGAGGGACTGGCTCTGAGCCAGCCTGCCCGTCTGCTCCAGGGTGTTGTCCGGCCCCCTCCTGAGGCTCTACTTGTAAGGGGGTGGCCTGCCCCAGTGCTGAGCTGCTTAAACAGCGCCCGTGACCAGTGCTGAGCTGCTTAAACAGCGCCCGTGGCCTCAGCCTTGAGCCATCTTTGGGCCCTCTCATCTCTGCCCCGCTCTCTGTCACTCCCAGAGGCCTCCGTGTCCAAGAAGAAACGAATGTGCATGAAGCTGATGCCTCTGGGGGCTGCAGACGTGGCTGTGTTTGATGTCCGGCTGAGTGGGAAGACTAAGACTGTGCCTGGATACCTGCGAGTTGGGTAGGCTTGGCCAGGTCGGCCTGCCTCCCGGCCCCCGTCCAGTCCTGTCCTGTCCTGTCTGGGCTGGGCCACCTCCCTCACGACTCCTGTCCTGACTGGTCTGGCCTGGGCCTCCTTCCAGCCTCCTGTCTCTTTGCCACCTGGGTGTGCCTGTTCTCTGTGCCAGTTCAGGGACAGCTGTATGTCTTGTGAGTCACCAAGGAGCAGGGAGGGGTGTGTAGCAGGGATGCTGACCACACCCAGCACTGTTAGTATGCATGTCAGGTTGAGGGTCAGGATGGCAGAACAGAAATCTCATCCACATGGGGTTCATGTGGAGGCCCAGATCCCCAGCGGCTCCCAGCGGCTCCCCTGCCCTGGCTGTATCTTGGGTCAGAATTGTGTTTCTCCTGCTCCAGGGACATGGGTGGCTTTGCCATCTGGTGCAGGAAGGCCAAGGCACCACGGCCAGTGCCCAAGCCCCGAGCGCTCAGCCGTGACCTGCAGGGCCTCTCGCTGGACCCCGCCGGCCAGCCCAGGTGAGTCCTCGGGCCCCTGAGGGGGGGTCGGGGCTGGCCAGGCCTCACAGGGTCATCGTCCCCCCCAGCAAAAGCAGCTTGCCAGAGCGCACCCTGTCCCGGGCCTCCACGCTTTGCAGGAGCGACTCCATCTACCAGGCATCCAGCCTCTACGGGATCTCCGGTGAGCGCCGTGGGGAAGGCGGGGTGCAGGCCTGTCCTCCACCCGTGCCAGCCCCAAGGCTGTAAGGCTTTCCTGAGGTGCTGCAGGTGGCACGGGGGAGGGGGTCTTGACGGCCTCAGCCCTCAGCTCTTTGCCTGACATGATCTCTTCCAGCCATGGATGGGGTTCCTTTCACGCTGCACCCACGTTTTGAGGGCAAGGGCTGTGGCCCCCTGGTGAGTTGGGGTCCTGGGGAGTCCTGGGGAGTCGGGTCTGCTCACCTTCTGGTGCCACGCTGCCCAAGGCCCCTCAAGGAGGCTCTAGTTCTAGAATGGGAGCAGGAGGGCCTCTAGTTCTCGTGCTGGGCCGCAGCTTCTGGGGCAGTGGGGGAGAGCCCCACGCGTGCAGGGGTGTGTAAAGATGGAGGGTGCTGGCCCGGCCGTGCCTGTCACCCTGACCTCAGGAGTCAGAGGGAAGGGCCATGAGCTCAGGCCACACAGACCTTGTCCCAAGTTAGAAAAACGGGGGAAGGGAATGGGTCCCCAGGGGGCGTGGGGAGACTCACCAGCCACCGCTCGCCCGCCGCCAGGCCTGCTCTGCCTTCGGGGACCTGACCATCAAGTCGCTGGCAGACATCGAGGAGGAGGTGGGTCCTGGGGGTGGGGGGGAGGCTCCCATCATCCCGCGGGCCTGGTCTCCACGCCCAGCCCCCTTCCCTTACTGTGTCCCCCCAGTACAACTATGGCTTTGTGGTGGAGAAGACAGCTGCTGCCCGGCTGCCTCCCAGTGTCTCCTAGCAACCGAAGCCGGGCCTGTGCCGCCACCTGGCCCGTGCCCACGGCTATGGGGGGCTCCACCCCCACCCAGTCCTGGGGCCACGGCCTGGGGCGGGGTCAGCTGGATCCCACCTGTGCCTTCAGTGACTTGTCAAAACCACAGCCACGCGCCCCGCAGCTCTGGGAATAAACACTACCTGTCCTGCTGAGTGGCGTTGGTCCTTCCCAAACAAGTGGGAGAGTGCTGGGGAGCCAAGGACGGGGTAGAGGGAGCCGGACCTGCAGTGCCCCCCATGCAGTGGGAGCCGCCGTTTCTGTCAAGCTGACCATGGCGTCCCAGTCTGCATCTGGGAGTCAGGGAGACGGAGGCAGGCACGGCAGCAGTCCCTCCACCACAGTGCCTGTCAGGACTGGCAGCTCAGCCGCAGCTGCAGGCCGCGCGGTCAGAGCAGCCGTCCACCACCCAGGCTGTCCACCACCCAGGCCGCGCAGGCAGAGCGGCCATCCACACCCAGGGCTGGGGACAGGACCCGCGGTCTGCAGGCTGTGGCCGGCTGGCCAGAAGCCCCCCTCACTGCCCACTGGCCGGATCGGGCACTGGCTCACGGGTGGCACCATGTCCAAGCCGGAGTCAGTACTGGCTTGGGGAAGAGGGTGGAAAGTGGGCGCACACGACCCCCTCAGGGGACACAGAATCCTTCTGACTTGTGTTCAAGACCTGAGAGCTGGGCGCCGGTGGCTCCCGCCTGTCATCCCAGCTACTCAGGAGGCTGAGATCTAAGGATCACAGTTCAGAGCCAGCCCAGGCAGGAAAGTCCATGAGACTCTTATCTCCAATAAACCACCAGAAAACCAGAAGTGGTGCTGTGGCTCAAGTGGTAGAGCACTCACCTTGAGCTGAAGAACTGAAGGACAGCTCCCAGGACCTGAGTTCAAGCCCCAGGACCAACAAAAAAGACTTGAGAGCAGGGTTTCACCCCAATGGGAGAGCCAGTGGTGTTTTCAGTGTAGCAAGGGGGAGGGGGGGAGCCCTGGGAGCAAGGCGGAGAGACCCCATCCTTGCTGCCTGGGGCTACGGTTGAAGATAGGCCCGGGGGCAGCCCTGGGGGACAGGCGGGGCTGAGCTGGACTTGGCACAGGTGAGAGCTACCCAGGCCCAGCTTTGTTCTTGGGGAGATGGCTGTGCAAGCTACCCTGGGTGGCGTCGCTGCAGGGGTGTTGGGCTGAGCCAGCCAGCCACCTTGCCTGGTTGTGGCCTCGGTAGCTGGGCGCCTGCCTGTACTGGGGCCCCGTCCCTGCACCCCCGTGCAATCCGATCCAGCTGGGAAGCAAGGGCTTCTGCCTGAACCCCCTGCAACTCCCTGAGACCGTCCCGATCATCCTGGCTGTCAGCGTGGGCCAGGGCCTGTTGGTGACCGGTGCTAGCTTGAGTCCCCTGGGCCTCCCAGCCTGCAGCCCTCGGCAGGGCCGGTGCAGCCACACTGAGGGTGAGGCCCTGCCCCATAGCTCCTGTCCTACACTCCAATCACCTGCCAGTCATCTGTGGCACCGCCCCCACGGGTTACCACTGTGGTCCTCTCCAATCACCACTCCTACACAAGGAGCCCTTGTGGATGGCTGAATGGCATGAGGGCTGGAGTTCTCTCCACGGCCTCCAGCCCCAGCTAGTGGGTGGCTCAGGTGAGGCCTGCGGTGTAAGGTGTCCAGGCCAGGCCTGGACGCTAATTCTGGTTTGTGGAGCTTTTTGTTGTTAGACAAGGCTGTGCTCCGCCAGGCTGGAGGCCAAAGACAGAAGCCAGGTGTGGTCCCATGACGCCGGGGGCTCTGCCTGGCTCCCTGGTGTCTGCACAGGGGCTGCCACACCTGGATTGGGTGTCCGAGCCCGGGCCAAGTGCCCAGCTGCAGCCCGAGCAGGCCTCAGCCGAGGTCAGCAAGTGCTGGCAGCTGTACCCCTCCTGGTCCTCGGACCCCAGCCTTCCCCTGCACCTGGGCCTCGGACCCCAGCCCTCCCCTGTGCCCGCGGACCCTCGGCTCTGGCCACAAACTGTCTCGTGAATGGCCCATTCCTTGGGCCTCAGCTCACTAAAGCCAATTAGGGGCTTTCAGTACTGAACCCAAGCTTGTGACCCCAGGCCCATACTGTCAGGGGCCTCGAGCTGATGAGTGAGGAAGCAGACTACCTCCAGCCACCTTTGAGGTGCAGACATGAGCTGTATGCTTATGTAGACACAGAACTGCGGCCAGGGAGCAGAGCACAGACCCATTCAACAGCCTAGTCAAGACGGCCCTGCGGGAAGGTTCCAGAAAGACGGTGCTGGGCGCGGCTCAGCCCTGCCTTGTCCACGCAGGCTGGGGCAGGCGCCGGGCGGCGGGGTGCACAGCCTCCCCATCCCCCGTGCAGCATCCAGAGGCCTGGGAGGTGGCAGCCGAGCAGTGGCCAAGGGCTGCCCAGCCTCCTCCGCCTGCAGCTGACCTTCCTCTGCTGCCCCTGGGTCCCGGGCACCCAGCGTGGCCCCAGGGACAGGCCGAGGGACCTCTGGGGACCTCTCTCCATTTGGGGTGCAGGTGGAACCAAACCTGTGCACCCCAGGAAATTCACGTGTGACGATCAGCAGTACTTGGGGGGCCACAAGAGTCACGTGCCCGGAGCCACCGGCTCCTGGCGTACCCCTGTCCGTGTGGCACATGGGAGCATGGGCTGGGACTGGATTTCTGTGGTGTGAGCTGGAAGGGGCCAGTTCAGTCTCCAGGCCGCAGTAGGCATCAGAATGTCCAAGACTGAGCCATCTGTCAGCAGCGTGGGCTCACCGGGGAGGGGGGAACTCCAGGTGTGAGCCCCACCTCGAGCTCAGAACCGGGACCCCTGCTGCGCCCCTGCCCCTCCTGGGGCCTGGGTTTCTTCATCTGGGAAACAGATAGAGACATTAGAGGATTAACACCCCAGGCAGGCCTCCTCCCTCCTCCCTCCTCCCCGGCACCAAGGGTGGGGAAGGGAAGGGAAGGCTGGGGCCCTGGCAGCTTGCCATCCGGCCTGGGCCACAGCCAGGGCCCAGGGGGATGCCTGGACTCCAGGAAGGTGGGTGGGAGGACCAGGGGTTAGTACCTTGCTGGGGCTGAGCCCCGGGGACCCCAGCGGTGCGGGCTGGGTCGTCTTCTGAGCATGGTGGGGACGGCTCATGGGGACCACGGCGGGCGGCCCGGAGCAGGACGTAGGTCAGCACTGCCACCAGGACCAGGGCTCCTGAGCCCAGAACCGACGCTGCTGCAGCCCCTGTCTCGATCTCAAAAAGCAGCAAGGCGTAGAGGGAGAGCGCTGGGGGAGCGATGGGTACGCAGTCACTGGTGAGGACAGCGAGCGTCAGCAGGGAGCCCGGATCCCAGAGCGAGGCCCCACGGGGGTCGCCCCACCGCCCAGCCCTGAGCCCCGACCCTGTCCCCGCACACACCTGCCAAGTAGACAGACAGGCCACAGCAGAGCAGTCCCAGGACCGCGTGCCTCACCGCGCGGCAGTCGTAGAAAAACCATTCGGACCTGGGGCACAGGAACACAGGAGAAAAAGGGGCTCAGGAGAGCCGGGCAGCGCTGGCTCACGCCTGTCATCCCAGCCACTCAGGAGGCTGAGATCTGAGCATTGCAGTTCAAAGCCAGCCCAGGCAGGAAAGTCCGTGAGACTCATCTCCAGTGAACCACCAGAAAACCAGAAGTGGCACTGTGGTTCAAGTGGTAGAGCACCAGCCTTGAGCTGAAGAGCTGAGGGACAGCGCCCAGGCCCAGAGTTCAAGACCCACGACCAACCAAAACATACCAAAACCAAAAAGGACTCAAAAGGGGCTGGGAAGGTGGCTCAGTAGTAGAGCGCTTGCCTTGCATGCATGAGGCCCTAGGTTTGATTTCTCAGCACCACATAAGCAGAAAAAAGCTGGAAGTGGTGCCATGGCTCAAGTGGTAGAGCGCTCCCCTTGAGCTGAAGAGCTGAGGGACAGCGCCCAGGCCCGGAGGTTAGGCCCCACCCACAACTGACCAAAAAAAAAAAAAAAAGGGCTCAGAAGATGGTGGTGGAAAGGCTACAAGATGAAAGGTGTATGATACTACCTGGTATCTACTAACCTTACTAACCTTCTCATCCACCTATATGCGCTCACTCACCCATCCATCCACTCACCCATCCACCCATCCATCCATCTACCACCCACCCATCCACCCATCTATCCACAAATCCATCCATCTACCACCCACCCATCCATCCATCCACCCATCCACCCACCCATCCACCCACCCATCCATCCACGCATCCATCCACCTATCCACAAATCCATCCACCCACCCATCCACCCACCCATCCATCCACCTATCTACAAATCCATCCACCCACCCATCCATCCACCTATCTACAAATCCATCCACCCAGCTATCTACAAATCCATCCACCCATCCATCCACCTATCTACAAATCCATCCACCCAGCCATCCACCCACCCTCCCACCCACCCATCCATCCACCTATCCACAAATCCATCCACCCATCCATTCACCCATCCATCCAGGCACCACCCATGCACCCATCCATCCATCCATTCACCTGTCAGCCCTGCCCATTGTTCATCCACCCACCCCATCCACCTGTTTGCCATCCATTGCTCCTTCCCTGAGCCCATGTCCCACATCAGTCCCCGCAAACATCTGGACTCACGAGGCAGCTACAAGCACAGGTGTTTACTGGGCCCTGCTTTCCATCCTACAGCATGCCTGCTCCAAGGGCCTGAGCTTGTGCTCAGGAGGCCGGGATGTGCTTCCATCCTGCCCACCCTCCACCCATAAAAACTGGTGTCCTCGAGGCCATCTCTCTCCCTGCCTCTATTTTGGCTGTGGCCAGAGGGAAACATTCCAACTTGAGTCCTGGCTCCTTCCTGCTCTTCCTGTCAAGGGCACTTGGCCAGGGTCCCGCACACGGTTCCATCCCCCTACACATGGGCTTGTGCCCCAGGGACCTTGTACATGCCCAGGAACAGTCCCACAGATCTTCTGCCTGTTTTTCATCCTCAAGTCCTGGCAGAGCTCCCCCTGACTCTTCCCTCTTCTCTCTGCCCCCTCACCCTAATCTCCTCCTTTCCCAGTACCCATCCCCCTCTGAAATCGTGTTTTTGCCATTGTGGGTGCTGTGGTTTGTTTTGTTTTGTTTTTGGTGGGTCGTGGGGCTTGAACTCTAGGTCTGGGCATTATCCCTGAGCTCTTCAGCTCAAGGCGAGCTCTTTACCACTTGAGCCCCAGCGCCACTTCCTTGGGTGCTGCGGTTTGAATGCAGGCCTCTCAAGCTCCCTCAGCTTCCAGCTGGGCGGGTGCTCTACGGCCTGGGCCACTCCTCCTGCTCTGCTTTTTTTGCTGATAGTTTGGGAAATGGAGTCAGCTGGACTTTTCTGCCTGGGCCGATCTCAAGCCCAGCTCCTCCTGCTCTCACCCCCTCCAGGAGCTAAGATTCCAGGCCTGAGTCCCAGCCCGGTCGGCTCTGGGGTCTGCTGACCCTCAGTGAGGGTCTGCTCCATCCCCTGCCCCTGTTCCTGTCCAGTGTCCGGTCCCCCCCCACCCCCCACCCCCATCCCCCCATCCTGTCCCATCCCCATCCCCGTTCCCTGTCCCACCCCCGTCCGCTGTCCTTGTCCCGTCCCTGTTCCCGGTCCCCTGTCCCTGGTCCCCTTCCACCCATTCCTGGTCGGCCAGCCCAGCCCCTGAGGACGCCGAGCTCAGGTTGGAGAGAGGAACCGGTGAACTTCCAGACCCCGCGGGAAGATGGCGCCTACTCGGCTCGGATGAGCCCGGCCGGCCCCGCGGAGCCCCAAGGCGAGGCCGAGCCGGAGGGCCCTCGGCCCAGGCCGCACCCGGACTCCGCCTGCCCCGGGTGAGGAGCCAGCGGCCGCCCCGGGCACCGGGCTGGGGGCGCGGTGGGGCGGGCGCGGGAAGCGGGGAGGACTGCGGCTCGGCAGCCCGACATGGCCGAGGCCTCAGTTTATCACCGGTGGAGGCACCTGTTGAACGTGTCAGACATGCCGGGGAGGGGGGTGGGAGCCGCCGTGCCCCCCCCCCGCCCCCTACCTGCCCGGCCCCCGCTGCCCGGCCCCCCCCAGCCCGGTCCCCCCCCCCGCCTGGCCCCCCCCCCGCCCGGCCCCCCCTGCCCGGCCCCCCCCCCCGGTCCGGCCCCCCCTGCCCGGGACCCCACCCGCCCGGGCACCCCCCGCCCGGCCCCCCCTGCCCGGGACCCCCCCCACCCGGCCCCCCCTGCCCGGGACCCCCCCCGCCCGGCACCCCCCTGCCCGGGACCCCCCCTGCCCGGCCCCCCCTGCCCGGGACCCCCCCGCCCGGCACCCCCTGCCCGGGACCCCCCCACCACCCGGCCCCCTACCTGCCCGGCCCCCCCCCCCGGCCTGGCCCCCCGCCCCCTACCTGCCCGGACCCCCCCGCCTGGCCCACCTACCCCGCCCACCCGGGCCCCCCCCCGCCCAGGCCCCTCCCCCGCCCCGCCCCCTCCCTGCCCGGCCCCCTACCTGCCCGGGCCGGGCCCCCGCGCCAGCTCGGCGCCCAGGTGGCCGCAGAGGCCGGCGAGCAGCAGGCCTGCGAGGCCGAGCACCAGCGCCAGCGCGGCCAGCGCGGCGGCCAGCGGCAGCAGCGCGCCCGCCGCGTCCTCGGGCAGCCCGGGCCCCGCGCTCGGCGCCCCGCGCCGCGGCCCCCGCAGCTCCGCGCGCCCCGCCTGCAGCTGGAACAGCAGCTGCGCGCCCAGCGCCGCCAGCACGGCCGCGGGGATGCCGAGCGCGGGCAGCGCGGCCAGCACGCGGCCGCCGTACGTGCGGGCCATGGCGGGGTCGCGCTGCGAGAGCGCCGGACAGCTGCCACCCAGAGTTCCCTGCTCTGCGGGGACCCCGCGGGCGCCCCGTCCCGGTCTGCGGGGCGGGGCGTGAAGGGGGCGGGGACAGAGGGCAGCGGAGCATGGAGCCCGCGCTGGATTGGACAGGGGCTGCTGGGCGGGGGCAGAGCCCCATGGGCGTGACCAGAGGCGGGGCTTAAGAACTGGGTTTTGCCTGTGTGGGCGTGGCCCGAGGCGGGGCAGGGCTTAAGAACTGGGTTTTGCCTGTGTGGGCGTGGCCCGGGGCGGGGCTTAAGAACTGGGTTTTGCCTGTGTGGGCGTGGCCCGAGGCGGGGCGGGGCTTAAGAACTGGGGTTTGCCTGTGCGGGCGTGGCCCGAGGCGGGGCGGGGCTTAAGAACTGGGTTTTGCCGGTGTGGGCGTGGCCCGAGGCGGGGCGGGGCTTAAGAACTGGGTTTTGCCGGTGTGGGCGTGGCCCGAGGCGGGGCGAGGCCGGGAAGCAGGGCTGGATTGGATGGGGTCTGCCGTGGGAGATAGGGGCATGGTTCAGGAAGAGTGGGGCTCCCTTTGTGGGCGGGGCCTGAGGCGGAGCCGGGGTCTGGAGTGGGGCGGAGCCATGGGCGTAGTTTGCGAAGGGGCGGGGAGGGGGGCGGCCGATTCCCCGGTTTGCCCCCCCTTCCCCGACCCCCCCCCCCCAACCGATTTTATTACATTTTCCAAAACCACATTTGAGGCCGGGCGCGGCGGCTCGGGCCGGTCACGCCAGCCACTCAGGAGGCTGGGATCTGAGGATCGCGGTTCAGAGCCAGCCTGGGCAGCCAAGTTCGTGACTCATCTTCAACTGCCAAAAAGCTGGAAGTGGCGCTGTGGCTCAGGTGGTGGAGCGCTCGCCTTGAGCTGAAGAGCTGATAGCGCCCAGGCCCAGTTCAGGCCCCACGGCCCACACAGGCGCGCGCGCACACACACGCTTGCGCACGCACACACCACATGCACGAGTGCGCACGCACACACCACACACGCATACGCACACACCACACGCACGCGTGTGCACACGCGCATACCGCACACGCACGAAGTTGAGACGAACAACACAGAAGTTTCCGTTTTATTCAGCGGCGGTGAGCACATCCATCATGTGCACCTTCCCCACGCTCCCGCTGTCCTCCCCCAAGCTGGCGGCCCCGCGGCCCTGCCTGGCAGCCCTGACCCTCCGGACTGGCTCTCCGGCCGTTCGGCCTCTTCGCGGAGGCTCAGTCCGCCCCACACTCGGGCCACAGCCACTTCCAGCTGGTGGCTAACTGGAGACGAGTCTCCCCGCAGCCCAGGCTGGCTTTGAACCCTGGTCCTCGGACGTCAGCCTCCCGAGTAGCGAGGACTGCGGTGGGCTCCTGTTGCAGGACCGCACTGTGGTTGTCCGTTCATCTGCGGGTGAATGTTCGGTGTTTCCACCTTCTGGCAGTCATGCTTGTTACCTGCCTCCCTTTGAGCTCTGAGTGTTGAATTGCTCAGTTAAATCCGTCTTCATTGAAACAGAAAGCAAAACCATCAAACTGTATCCCAAGACAGCCTTGTGTGGTCCTTTCCTGTCAGCTTCCGTGGGAGCTTTCCTTATTTTCCTGCAAACTTCTCAGTTTTCTCCTCCGCCCTCCAGCCCAGATGGTGTGAGGTGGCATTTGCTGTTTTCTTTCTTCTGGTCCTGGGTCTTGAACTCAGGGCCTGAGCACAGTCACTGAGCTCTTTTGCTCAAAGCTAGCACCACTTCTGGCTTTTTATTATTTATTTATATATTTTTTGGGGTCCAGTCATGGGGCCTGAACTCTGGGCCTGGGCGCTGTCCCTCAGCTCTTCAGCTCAAGGCTAGCGCTCTACCACTTGAGACACAGCACCACTTCCAGCTTTTTTCTTTTTGCTTATGTGGTGCTGAGGAATCGAACCCAGGGCCTCAGGCATGCAAGGCAAGCACTCTACCACTGAGCCACCTTCCCAGCCCATGTCTGGCTTTTTCTGTGTATGTGGTACTGAGGAATTGAAACCAGGCTTCAAGCACACTAGGCCAGCACTCTAACACTGAGCCAGCTTCCCAGCCCTGTGGGTTTGTTTGTTTTTTTTTTAATAATTTGAAATTCAGAATTTGATGCCCATAAAGGTTTACTGAAACCACCTTGCAGCTCATCCATTTACAAACCGTCTGCAGCTGCTTATATGCTACAAAGGTTTTGGGGAGATGGACGGTATGGCTGACAAAACTGAAAATACTGTGGCGGGGGAGGGGGGGGGGGCTGGTGCCTTGGCGATTGAGACATGGAGAATTGGGAGTTCAAGACCAGCCTGGACTGCATATCCAATTCAAGGCTAGCCTGAGCTAGCTAGCTGAAGTCCTGACTCCTCCCTCCACCCCGACCCCTGCTGTGGTTTTGTTCTGCATTTCCTTAATAACTGGTGAGGGTGAGCTGGAGAAATATGTGTCCAAGTCCTTGACTGCATCTCAAATTCAGTTACCTGTTTTTTGGAGGTGTGAGTGTGGGTGTCATTTTTTTTTCATTTTGTCAAACAGGGTGGTTTCTTAGCCCCCAGGGGGCCTGGAACTCTCCGTCTCCCTGCCTCTGGCTGCCCAGTGCTGTGCTGGTTTTCAGGGGCACCAGCACCTCACTGGACCTGGGTTAGCTTTTTTGTTGTTGGGTAAAAGTCTGGACAGTACACGTATGTCACCTACCTGACCTCTAGCGTTTCCTCCCATTCTGCGTGCCCTCTCCCCACCCTGTTTCTAAGAAGCACTGACTGCCTGCAGAGAAGGGACAGCTGGGAAAAGCAGGCTGTCTGGCTGCGCCCTCCCGGCCCGGTGTGCCTGAGTCAGCGCCCAAGCAGCATATGCCTATGGCTGTGCCTCTAGCCCCCAGCCCCCTTCCTCCCTCCCTCCCCTTGGACCACCCCTGCAGTCAGGCCTGCTGGTCCCCGAGGTCACACTGGTGCTCACCAGGAGTATTTACATTCACCTGCCTCACAGAAGCACCAGCCACTGGGCCGTCTGCTGTCCGGGAACTCCACGTGCAAAGCCAAGCCCTGGGAAGCCTTCTAGGCTGACATGCCAGGGAAGACGGCAGTGAGAAGTAACAACTTTGCTGCGACAGAGCCAGGGTTATTATTTTGTGTGATCACTTGGGGATTCGTGGGAGACCCCGCTGGCCGGCTGGGGTCCTAGAACACCCGGAAGCAAAGGCTGAGACGTAGTCCATGAAGAACATGAGCAAACCTGTCTCTCACCACAGCTACTCAGGAGGCTGAGATGAAGGATCACGGTTTCAGCCTGGAGAGGAAAGTCTCTAAGACTCCAATTAACTATCACAAAGCCAGAAGTGGAGCAGTGACTCAAGTGGTTGATGCCAGGCTGGAGCACAAAAGCTGGAGACAGTGCCCAGGCGGAGTTCAAGCCCCAGGGCAGCGCACACTGGCGTGGAAGGTCATTATTATTTTTTGGTTGGTCGTGGGTTTTGAACTCTGGGCCTGAGCGATGTCCCTCAGCTCTTCAGCTCAAGGCGAGCACTCTACCGCTTGAGCCATTTCCGGTTTCCTAGTGGTTAACTGAAGATAAGAGTGTCATGGACTTTCCTGCCCGGGCTGGCTTTGAACCGAGATCCTCAGATCTCAGCCTCCTGAGTAGCTGGGATGACAGGCGGGAGCCTCGGTGCCCGCCTGGGATGGTTATTTATTATATGAAAAAGGAATAAAAGCTTAAAAATTCCAGCGTTCTGATGTGCTGCGCCCCGCCCCAGGCCGCGCTCGGGGCGGGGTCAGAACAGCGCCCCGGCCCCGCCCTCCACCGCGGCCCCGCCCCAGGCCACGCTCGGGGCGGGGTCAGAACAGCGCCCCGGCCCCGCCCTCCGCCGCGGCCCCGCCCCAGGCCGCGCTCGGGGCGGGGTCAGAACAGCGCCCCGGCCCCGCCCTCCGCCGCGGCCCCGCCCTCCACCGCGGCCCCGCCCCAGGCCGCGCTCGGGGCGGGGTCAGAACAGCGCCGCGGCCCCGCCCTCCGCCGCGGCCCCGCCCCAGGCCGCGCTCGGGGCGGGGTCAGAACAGCGCCCCCGCCCCGCCCTCCGCCGCGGCCCCGCCCTCCGCCCGGCGCCGGCCCCGCGGCTCCTGGTCCACGCGGTACTTGCGGCGGCGCAGCGGCTCGGTGAAGCTCCGCGGCACCGGGTCCTCCAGGTCCTCGGCCATCAGGAAGCTGCGGTCCAGCACCTCGGCCGCCTCCTGCCAGTTGGCGAAGCAGGCGGGGCCCAGGCGCTGGATCTCGTCGGCTGCGTCCCGCGTGAGCACGTCCCCGCCCGGCTTCAGCACCACCACGGCCGGCAGGCGCTGCACGGAGAACCGGCGACCGAGCTCCCTGCGGGGAACGCGGCCGGTGGGCGGGGAACGCGGCCGGTGGGCGCTCCGCCGGCCAGGGACGTGCTGGGGCGCTCGGGCCTCCCTGTCTGGGCCAGAGGCCTGGTCCTCCCCGCCAAGTCCTCCCCGCCAGAGGCCTGGTCCTCCCCGCCAAGTCCTCCCCGCCAGAGGCCTGGTCCTCCCCGCCAAGTCCTCCCCGCCAGAGGCCTGGTCCTCCCCGCCAAGTCCTCCCCGCCAGAGGCCTGGTCCTCCCCACCTGAGGCCTGGTCCTCCCCGACAGGTCCCCTCCCACCTCTGGACATGCCTTGCACCTAATGCCCTCGTCCCAGCATAGTTTCTTTCTAAGACCGTGCTTCTCTGACTTCAGCCCCCAGGAGCTTCTTCCTGTGCTGAGCAGCTTTCTCTGCCTTGGGCTTCCCAGAGCCCTGCCCTCCTCTGCATTTGTGCTAGTGATTTCAGTGTGGCTGGGGAAGGGTGTGGAGTGACAGCCCTGGGATGGAGAACCCTACTCCACGCAGGAAGGTGCAGCTGGGGGCAGGCCACGCCAAGGACTGGCCCTGGGTGAGCGCTGAGTGGACGGGTGGGCAGGCCCAGGGGCTAGGGCTGCACAGGCAGTGGGTGAGGGCACAGCCCCATGGCCGGTGGCCCAGTGGAAGGTCAGGAAGTGGCTACCTTATGTTCTGTCCTTGAGCGCATCCATACAAGCCACCCACCCACCTAGACCTGGCAAACAGTAACGGATCTCCTGGGTTTATGTAGACTTCCTGGACATCTGACATTTATTTCTTTAGGTGTGGGATAGGACTTGACTCTGCACATGCTCCATGCAGCCTCTGGATATGCTTTCCCACTGGTTGGAGTTCGAAAAGAACAAAGCCAGGCGCCGATGGCTCACACCTGTCACCCTCGCTACTCAGGAGGCTGAGATCTGAGGACCATGGTTTGAAACCAGCCCAGACAGGAAAGTCTGAGTTCTTATTTCCAGTTAACCAACAAAAAGCCAGACTCCGCGCTGTGCCTCAAATGGTAGAGCGATAGTTTTGAGTGAAAAAGCTCAGGGAAAGTGCCCAGAGTTCAAGACCCAGGACTGGCCGGTAACAAAAAAAACAAGTAAATAACCTCTAACACCATTGTCACATGACCTGCTTTTGGTTCCAGTGTACCCCTCCCCCCTGACTGCCAGGTACTGAGGAACTGGGGCTCTGTCTGTCCTCTTCCATGCTTCTGGCTGCTTTCTCTCCCCTGTCCCTGCTGATTTCTGGGGTCACACCCTGTGGGGGGCTCTTTAAAGCCAGGTCCCTGCTCCCTCCCCCCAGGCCCTGGGACCTCACCTCCTCAGGCCATCCTCAAAGGGCAGGAAGAGCCACTTGTCGGGCATGTCCTTGAGGAACTGGTCCTGCTGCTCCTCCGTGGGGTCCTGGGACACGTACACCAGTGCCAGTTGGGCGGCACGCAGCACGTAGAACTCGTCGGTGAGCCGCACGAAGAAGTCCCGCAGCACTGGGGCGAAGGCCTGGCACCGCGGGCAGCCAGCCGCGCCAAAGAACAGCAGCAGCAGCCGGTTCTCCAGCCTGCGGCACAGCTCCGCCTCGGTGTCCAGCGTGTCCTGGTCGCTGTTGTTGCGCACCAGGATGCTCCCAGAGAACAGGGACACCATGGTAGCCCGGCCAGCCGGGAGGCTCAGAGAGCTTAGGGTAGCTAATCCGCCCACCCACCTGCCCCAGGCTCTGGGGAGCTCTGCCCTGTCTGCCTCTGCAGGCCCCTGGCGCCTGGCCACCCTGCCTCAAAAAACACACAGGATGCAGAGCCACTCGTGAAGATCTGTTCCCTTGTGGTAGTGTGGGCGTGGTAACCAGTGGGGCTCTTGAGATGGAGGCTGGCCTAGTGCAAGGGTGGGTGGCTGGAGAGCAGAAATGGCCTCCAGGGAGGTGCTGGGGAGTATGAGGGTCTGAACTCAGGGCCTCTGGCTCATGAGGGTGCTCCACCTCCTGAGCCACACTCCCAGTCCCTTTGGTCTGCAGTGTTTTTGCCCAAGGTCAGCCTGGTCTGTGATCCCTCAGAGGTGTCCCAGACAGCTGGGATGAACAAAATGACAGTCACGTGGGGCTGACTGGGAGGGGAAGGCCTTGAAATGTCAACCCTCCCAATCCCCATCTCCTGGTGAGCTGAGTGACCAGCTGGACCTGGCTCATTGCCCGGGGCCAGGTGTGAACCACCTGCCCCCATCCCCTCTTCTTTCCCTTCATTTTAGAGGCAGGGAGGTGGAACCTGGGCCTTACACAGACCTCAGGCTTTGAAGGCACTCAGCGCAGACCCTGGGTAGGGACGCTGGCGAGCCCAGGCTGCACAGGCAGCATGGCCAGCGGCACGGTACCCTCTCTGGACTGCTCCCTGGAGGGGGACCTCAAGGGGACTGGCACTCCCCGACCGGCCACACCTCGTGGCTGACCCCAGACCTGGTTGTCGGCTCAGGCTGCGGCTCAGGCTGCGTGGCCAGCCGGTGGTGCCTCCTGTGGATGCCTCCATTTGCCTTTGAGGGGTGCGGGAATGTCCAACGGGCCGGCCCAGAGCTGGGAGCTGATGCCCTGGAAGGTAAATGCGGGCTGGTGCTGCCCAGTCCTGCCCAGGGTGTCCAGGGAGGAAAGTCGGCCCCGGTGTGGGATCGGCTGGCCCTGGCCTGCACTGGAGATCCTGGGGGCAGTTCGGTGGCGCTGGGGTCGAGGGCAGGGTGGCTGGGAGTGGGGGAGGAGGAAGGGGAGGAGGGGGAGGAGGGGGGGGAAGAGGAGGGGGAGGAGGAGGAGGGGAGGCTGGCAGGTGGAGACAGAGCAGGGAATTAGGGCAGAGGCCGCGGAGGGGGGGCTCAGGCCCGCGGCCCACAGGCAGCCGGGCGCAGGTCCTGTCCGGGCGGCGCCGGCCGCCTCCCAAGGGGAGCCCCGGGCAAGCCGGGCACGAGACGCGGAGGGGGGCGGGGAGGGCGGACCCGAGCGGCGGCCGGGCCGGGCCGAGCCGGGGCCCGCGCAGCCCCTCGGGCCCCACCCGCCGGCGGCTCCAGGTCCCGCCCGCGCCGCGCAGTCCCGCCGGAGCTGGAGCCCGCGAGCGAGCTGCAAGCCGGGGTCTGCGGGCCCGGGGAAGCGGGCGGGGGCCTGCGGGCCCGGGGAGCGGGACTCCGGGCCTCGGAGGAGCCCTGAGGGCCGGATGCGGCCGGTCCTTGGGCCTGCGCGGGGAGGCGCGGGGCCGGCGGGGGCCGCGCCCGCCCGGCGTGCGGGGTCCCGGGCCCGCGGGACGGAGGCGGGCTGGAGCGCGCGACCCCGAAAGTCAGGCGGCGTCGGGGGAGGCCGGGCTCGCGTTTAGGACCAGCTGGGTGCGACCCGGCCCTGGCGGGGCCCGGGGCCCGGGGTGCCGTCGAGGGCCGGGCCCAGAGCCGAGCCGCGCCCCCGGCCCGCGGCCCGCGTCCCGCCCGCGCTCGCGGACGCGCGCCTCCGGAGGGCGGGGCCGAGCGGGGCCGGGCGCGGTTGCCTAGGAAACGCCGGCTGTCCTGGGAGGGCCGCTCTAGCCTCCCCGCGTCTCGTTGGTCGTCGGCTCTCTGGTCCCGGAGCCCTCTCTATGGTCATGGCCTCCCGAAGGGGCCCAGCCCGGGCTCCGCGGAAGAGGGGCTAGGAACTGGACAGGTCGGCCTTGGGCTGGGGTGGCTGGGGCGGAGCTTGGGTGCTAGGTGAGCCGAGGAGCCGCCCCCTCCGGGGCGGTGGTGGAGCGCGGGCCTGAGGCCCCGGCTGGAGTGGGTGGATTGGAACCCTGTCCCGAGGCCTAGGCAGGGGTCGGCGCTCGAGGGGCAGGGCGGGGCTGCTGGGTCGAGGCGTGCGCTGGGGACACGGCTAGAGGCCTAACCGGGGCGCCGGGTCCCAAAAAAGGGCCCGAAAGGGGTGGACACGGCCTCTAGAGGAAAACCCAGGACCTGAGGCTGGACAGACCGGGGGCAGCGCCGGAACCAGGCGGGTCAGGTCACGGGGCCTGAGCCCCCAGGCTTCCAGGCTGGACCGGGGTGGGGGGGAGGTGGAACTGCCGGCGAGCCAGCCGCCGGGTTACCGAGGGGGCGGCGTCTGACCTTGACTGGGCTGTCGGGGCGCATCCCATTTACAATGGTTGGCTAGGAGGCGGGGCAGCAAAGGCGGGGGAGCAGGCTCTCCTCCGCGGGGAGCCGTCCCAACCTGGGGCGGAGCCTGGCTGCGAGCGGGAGGGGCGGAGCCAGCGGGGTGGGTCAGCCTGGGGGCGTGGCGAGCGAGGCCAGGGGGCGGGGTCACTGGGTCGGGCGGGGCGGGGCGAGCGAGGCGAGGCCAGGGGGCGGGGTCAGGGGGCGGGGTCAATGAGTAGAAGCCTTGGCGAGTGGGGAGCCAGTGGGGAGGTGCTGGGGAAGAGCCAGGCTTGCCCTGTGGCAAGCTGGGACTGGGGGGCGTGGTCCACGGGCGGGACTCAATGAGGGGCGGGGCTCTCCCTGAGGGCGGAGCCAAGGCGGCCGCAGCCTCCGCACTCTCCACCTCCCCAGGATGCGGGTCCCGGGAGCGGGCACGGCCTCCGTGGCCTCGCTGGCGCTGCTGTGGCTGCTGGGACTGCCGTGGACCTGGAGCGCGGCAGCGGCCTTCGGCGTGTATGTAGGCAGCGGCGGCTGGCGCTTCCTGCGCATCGTCTTCAAGACTGCGCGGCGGGACCTCTTGTGAGTGGGGGCGGGGGCGGGGCTTGGGTGGGCGGGGCCTGCCCGGGGGCGGGGCCAGCCCAGGGGCGGCCTGCGCGGAGCGAGGAAGGCGGGGACAGTGTCCTGAGTGCTGTCCAGACGTGCCCGTCACCTAGAGGCCTGCATGGACTCTTAACTAGCTTTCAGGGTGTCTGATGACATTGTGAGGTTCGGGGTGCTCATGGTCTGCTTGGGTGTCCTGGGGGACTGAGGTCTGGGGGGTCTGGTGTGTGTGGTGTGGGAGCTGACAGAGACCCTTCCGTCGGGGTCTTAGCCCGGTGTCCTTTGGGGGTAAGGACCAGCACTTCGTGGACACCATGGGACGGGGCCACCATCACAGGCCCTGTGCCCGGAGGTGGAGAAACTAAGGCACACAGAGGAGCAGGATGTGGTAGACCCGGGGAGGGCCTGGAAGGCTGCTGCTTCTCAACCAAGACTGACATGCCTTCTCCATGCACGGCCCCTGGTCCTCCCGAAGTCTCCGGGTCTCCTCCTCTGCAGGGGTCTCACTCCCAGCCGGCACCCTGGTCCCACTGTCTCCTCAGACCCTGTGCTTGTGTGCTAGTAAAACAGGGCCTCTCAGGGAACCCATCCGCTCCCTTCCCATCAGCTCCCTTCTGCTCCTGTGCTGTGAGAACCTCAGCCCCCTCCCCCTCCCCCTCCCTCCCTCCTTCCCTCCCTTCCTTTCTTTCTTTCCTTCTTTTTTTCTTTTTTCCTTTCTTTCTCTCGTCCTGGGGCTTGAACTATGGTCCTGGGTGCTGTCCCTCAGCTCTTCAGCTCAAGGCTAGAGCTCTACCACTAGAACCACAGTGCCACTTCCGGCTTTTTTCTTTTTGCTCATGTGGTGCTGAGGAACGACCGGACCCCCCCCAAAAAAAAAATGAGTAGTGGTCATCTCCTCCTTGCCTTGAGCTGAAGAGCTGAGGAACAGCGCTCAGGCCCAGAGTTCAGACCTCACAACCGGACACCCCCCCCCCAAAAAAAATGAGTAGGGGTCATCTCCTCCTTGCCTTGAGCTGAAGAGCTGAGGAACAGCGCTCAGGCCCAGAGTTCAGACCCCACAACCGGACACCCCCCAAAAAAAAATGAGTAGGGGTCATCTCCTCCTTGCCATCTCCCCACGGCCGTCTGGTGGCTGGTTGCAGGGACAGGCCTGTGCCCGTAACTGTGAGACACATTTGCCACGCTGCCACGTGCAGCAGTCTTATGCTCTGCTCTCTTGCCTTCCAATTCCTGGCCCCCTCCCCCAGCGGGGTGGGGGCTCTGACCCTGGCGTGGGCTCGGCCTCCTGAGGAGCACCCCCATCACAGAGACCCTGGATCACACGGGGAGCCAGGCACTCCAGCCGTGGAGATGCATGTCCGCTGTCCTGTTGGGCCGTGGCTGCTCGGTGGCAGCCTGTGTGACCCTGCCAGCGGAGGGGCCTGGTTCTTGCCGCCATGGGGAGGGGACACAGAAGCAGGAGGGGAGCCCAGCCAGGGAGAAGGGCAGATGGGTGCTCTCCACCTCGCCCTGCTGCGTTTAATTTCATTTACTTTATTTATTTAGAGGCAGGGTCTTGTTGCGCAGCCAGGCTGACCTAGAACCTGTGACCCTCTTGTACCCTCCTCTTCCTGCTGGGACTGTGCCTTGGCAGGCAGGGGCTAGACCCTGGGTGCTGTGGCTCTGGGAGCCCCTGCCAGTCCCCTGCTCCCATCCTTGCTGTGTGATGTCTGGTCATACTGGTCCTTTCGGAGGCCTGCTTCTGCCCCAGTGCAGGGAGTGCGCTGAGAGGAGTGGAGGGTGGAGTTGTGGGAAGGCCCAGCCAGACACTGGGCGCTTTGTGCTGGGGGGTTGCGGAGGGCGGAGGCCTGGGCCACTGCCAGGTGGCGCCCAGGCCTGTGGCCGAGAGAAAGCTGTAAAGCCTGTATTGTGGACATCCTGGAGGGAGGAGCAGCGGCCTGGGCACCCCTCCCCCCAGAGCTGCACCTGACTTCCTGTGGAGAGGGGGTCACAGGCAGCCTGGCAGGCCCCGGGGGCCACCACCTCTGCTGTCTGTGGCTCGGGGCTTCTGGCTGTTGGTGGCGGGGCCTCCAGGCCTGGCCGAGCCTCCATTCTGCCTTGCCAGCTGGTGCCCACCCGGCCACGGCTCCCTTCTGAGCATCCTCTGTGAGATGCATGCATTGAGTGACCCCTCTGCTGGCCCTGACGGAGCCCCCACGCCACGCCCCTTTGTCAAGCCTGTGTCCAGGCCAGGTGGCTGTGGCTTCAGGTCTGAGCTTGTGTGGAGACGCGCCCCTCTGGGATTTGTGGCAGGCTGGCTGTACAGGGAAGGCGAGGGGGGGGGGCTGCTGTGGCAGCCAGGACCTCCCTTGCACCAGTCAGCTGCAAGCGTTGGAAGGTCCCAAGTGGTGGTGGGGGGGGGGGGTGTGCAGTGCCACAGAAACAGCTACCTGAGCTGGGACACAGCCTGTGCGGGCCCCACCGTGAGCCTGGCCGGGCCTGCATGCCTCCCGTGGTTCCGGCTAGCCTGGCTGAACCCCAGCACCACAAAGAAACCAATGCCACCACCAACTAGAGAAACTCTGAACCTCTATTTTCTCAAGCTGCTGTTGAGTTCTGACACTCCACCCTGCCCACAGCATCTGCTCCTCTGTCAGGCTCTGGCTGGATGCCCTGTCACCCTGGCCTCTATTCTGGTCCCCAAACCTACCTCCTGTTCCCACCCCAGGACCTTTGTACAGGCTGTGTACCCCGCTTTGCCCCCAGCTGCTCCATCTCTCCTCCCTCAGGCCCTGTGCAGTGTGGCCTGCTGGTCTCCAGGACACACTGGCCTCTGACTGAGCTGTCCACTTGCCTGCTCAGCCCACCCGGCCCTGGTGCACTCCCAGAGGACCAGGCCCAAGGGTGGGATGTGTGACCTGGCCCCCAGCTCCGTCCTCAGAACAGGGCCTGGCACAGCGGGCAAGGGGGGGGGGAGGAAGGATAGAGGGGTGGGAAAGGAGGGAGGAAAAGTCCCCACAGGGTCCCTGAGCAGCAGCATGGACTCTACACCAACAGGTGCAATGGGGGGCCCTGCAGCGGGGGTCAGGGACAGGCAGGACAGGCAAGGCTGGGGTGCATGGACGGGCCAACGAGGGTTCCTATTGCCCAGGGCTTTGCCCAGCACGAGCTGCTTGTGGGATCTTGGGGCTGTGGTTGCCAGGCATGAAGCCAAGAGAACTCAGAGAGCAAAGTCTTAATTCTTTTTTTCTTTTTTGTTGGTGGTGGGTCTTGAACTCTGGGCCTGGGCACTGTCCCTCAGCTCTCCAGCTCGAGGCTAGCACTCTACCACCTGAGCCACAGCACCACTTCTGATTTTCTGGTGGTTCATTGGAAATAAGAGTCTCACAGCTTTTCCTGCCCAGGCTGGCTTTGAACCGTGATCCTCAGACCTCAGCCTCCTGAGTAGCTGGGATGACAGGCGTGAGCCACCGGCGCCCTGCCCAGAGAGGCCATTCTCTCTTGCGGTTGAGTAAGGGCGGTGCTGTCTCTCATGGCTTGTTTCACAGTGCCGTGGATGCAGCCCAGGGCCCAGTGTGTGGCTGGCCGGCACTCACCATAGGGTCTCGAGCTCTCCGAGAGGCCACCTGGCCTGAGTGGTGGCCTGGCCTCCCCCAGCCTTTGGGACCGGGCCTTCCTCCTTGGGAGGCGCAGCCGCAGGCCTGCACCTGCCATTGGCAGGGAGGGCCGGTGAAGGCCCGGCCTTGCTGACCCATGCTCCGGCCTTGTTCACCAGACCCCTGTGGGCCCCCTGCCCGGGGAGGCCAGTGCCATCGGGTGACCGGGCCTCCCGGGCGGCGTGAGGGCAGCCGGACCAGCCTGGGCTCCCGCGGGGCCACCTTGCGGGCCGGGTGGAGCTCAGGGTCGGGGCGTCCCTCGCCCCGCCCCGCCGAGGGCGCCGCCCCGGGGCCTCGAGGGGGGGGTGGAGACCAGGGTCACCCACCAGTGCCTTCCGCCCGCAGCGGCCTCTCCGTGCTGATCCGCGTGCGCCTGGAGCTGCGGCGGCACCGGCGCGCGGGCCGCGCCATCCCGCACATCTTCCGGGCCGTGGCGCGGCGGCGGCCCGAGCGCCCGGCGCTGGTGGACGCGGGCAGCGGCGCGTGCTGGACGTTCGCGCAGCTGGACGCCTACTCGGACGCCGTGGCGCGCGTGTGTGGCCGGCTGGGCCTGGCGCCCGGCGACGTGGTGGCCGTCTTCCTGGAGGGCCGGCCCGAGTTCGTGGGGCTGTGGCTGGGCCTGGCCAAGGCCGGCGTGGTGGCCGCGCTGCTCAACGTGAACCTGCGGCGCGAGCCCCTGGCCTTCTGCCTGGGCGCCTCGGGGGCCAAGGCGCTGGTCTACGGCGGGGAGCTGGCGGCAGGTGAGGTGCGGGGCGGGGCGGGGCCGCGGGGCAGGGGGCGGGGCCGTGTGAGGGGAGGGGCCGCGGGGCAGGGGGCGGGGCCGTGGGAGGGGCGGGGAGGGCGCAACCGGCTCGCGCAGGGGTTGCAGGGGTCGTGCCCAGCGAAGCCCCCCTCCCCTGCCCCCCTCCCGCAGCCGTGGCCGAGGTGAGCCCGCAGCTCGGGAAGAGCCTCCTCAAGCTGTGCTGCGGGGCCCTGGGGCCCGAGAGCCTCCTGCCGGACGCGCAGCTCCTGGACCCCGCACTGAAGGAGGCGGCAGCCGCTGGCCCGCGCGCGCTGCCTCCCGGCCAGGGCATGGACGGTGAGTGCGGGGCAAGTGCGGGACCCGCCCGGCCGCGCTCCCCCAGCGCCCGCCAGCTCCATGTCCGCCTCCCGCAGAACGGCTCTTCTACATCTACACGTCGGGGACCACGGGGCTGCCCAAGGCGGCCATCGTGGTGCACAGCCGGTGAGGCCGCCGCGCCCCGCCCCGCGCCCCCTGCGCCGCCTGCCACGGCCCCCACGCCCCGCACCACCAGCGCCAGCCCCGCCCTCACAGCTGCGGGCTCCCCACCTCCCCCAGGTACTACCGCATGGCGGCCTTCGGGCACCACTCCTACAGCATGCGGGAGTCGGACGTGCTCTACGACTGTCTGCCCCTGTACCACTCCGCAGGTACGGGGGCGGGGGGACCCGGCCCCTCACCCAGCCCCCCCCCGGGACTCCTTACCCACCCCTCGCCCTCGCCCTCCGCAGGGAACATCATGGGCGTGGGGCAGTGCATCATCTATGGGCTGACGGTGGTCCTGCGCAAGAAGTTCTCTGCCAGCCGCTTCTGGGACGACTGCGTCAAGTACAACTGCACGGTCAGGCCCCGCCCCTCTGCTGGCCCCGCCCACTCACCCTGTCCCGCGCTGCCCACGCCCACCAGCAGTGCCCGACTCCCGCCCACTCACGCTGGCCACGCCCCACGCTGGCCACGCCCACCCACAGTGCCCGAGTCCCCGCCCACTCTTGCTGGTCACGCCCCTCCCCACGCAAACCCCGGATCTTTGGTCAATTTAAGGGAATCGGCCTGACGGGGCCCCCACGAGGGCCCGGCCCTCTGCGCCCTTCCTCCTGTCCAGCCCCAGCCTAGGCCTCTATGGGAACCCGTTTGCAGGTGGAGAAGGGGCTCCTCCGCCGAGGGCTCCACCCCAGGCTCAGCTGCTTTGGAAGAACTTGTGTGAGATTGCAAATCCACCTGAAATGTGAAACAGTCACTTTGGGGGGTGGTACTGGGCCTTGAGCTCGAACCCTGGGCCTGGGGGCTGTCCCTGAGATTTCATACTAAGGCTAGCTTTGAACTTATTGTGCTATGCACCCTCTCCTGTTTTCCTGGTGGTTAATTAGAGACAAGAGTCTCCTGGACTTTGCTGCCCAGGCTGGCTTTGAACCACGCTTCTCTTAGCTCAGCTACTTAAATAGCTGGATTACAGGCCTGAGCCACTAGGCCCAGCCGAGGGGTCTCTTTTTAACAAAAGAGCCAAGGCTGTAGCTCAGTGACGGGAGCTGGCTTTGCATCGCATCACCAGCCCCACACCAAAGGATCAAACAGAGAAACAGCCTGTGGGGGTGCAGCAGCCACCCACCGCCAGCCAGCCTGCGCACCCACCCCGTCTGCCTAGAGAGGAACAGACAGACAGACAGACAGCGCCTTCCTGCTGGTGGTTCCAAGGCACCTCCCAAAGACGAGGACCTTCCTGGTGAAAATGGCCATGGGAAAGTCTGTGTGCCAGTGGCTGTAGGCCGCCTGGCCCCTCTCTGGTCCTCGTCCCTTCATCTTGCCCCTCAGCGGTATAGCTGGCCTGGGCTTAGCCTTCCCTATGTCCCTCAGAGTTGGGCAGCCGCTGGGGTGTCTGCCAGGTGCCGGCCGGGCCTGATGGTGGCAGTAGTGAGGTGGACGGGTACACCCAAGGGGATGGTGGCCCCTGCGGGTGGAGGCAGGTGGACACAAGAACGGAGGCAGATGGAGAGGGCGGTTCTGACCTCACCCTGGGAGGGACGTTGGAAGCCTCCCTGCTAGGCTGGTGAAACTCAAGCAGTACCAGCCTCCTGCCCACTGCAGAGGCAGATCTGCCATTCACTGGCTCTGTGGCCTTGATCTGCACCTGTGTGAACCTCCATTTCTGGCTGTGAAGAGGAGAGTGCAGTCACCTAGATACCTGACCCAAGATCAGAACTTGAGGCCACCTGGGAAGCAACCCCAGGAAGCCCCATGGGGTGGAAACCCAGGCAGAAACCCCGGCAGGGATCTGTGGGGACTGGGGCTGGGTGCTGCTGTACCTGCAGGGCAGCCACACGGGGGCAGCTCCATCTGGGGCAGAGGGGCTGGGAGAGTTGTGGGGGCTGCCCCGTGCCTTCACCTGGACAGAACCCCAGTCTGGATTAGAGGCTCCTGAGGCGTGGCCTTGGGGCACGGGGTTGGGGCCTGACCCACTCCTGCCTCCCGATTCCCCCCACTGTGCCCATGGCGGCCTCCCCCTTCCTCCCCCCTCCTCCTGCCCCCTTCCTTCACCAACACCGCTGGTCTCGCTGCCCGGGCCTCCTGCACAGGTGGTGCAGTACATCGGGGAAATCTGCCGCTACCTGCTGAAGCAGCCCGTGCGCGAGGCTGAGCAGAGGCACCGCGTGCGCCTGGCCATGGGCAATGGCCTGCGCCAAGCCATCTGGGAGGAGTTTGCACAGCGCTTCGGTGTGCCGCAGATCGGCGAGTTCTACGGCGCCACTGAGTGCAACTGCAGCATGGCCAACATGGACGGGAAGGTGTGAGCGGGCGTCTCCCCACTCACGCTTCCCACACAACCCAGGGGTGCCACTTAGCAATGGGAAGCATGGCCGCCCTGGCTCACCAGCCCTGGGGTCACCTGGGGCTCCATATCCTCGTGCTGGGTTTGGAGAGGCAGCAGAGCCCATGCCTGGCTCCTGCAAAGTACTGGTGCCTGACCTGGCTGTGGCTCACGCCTGTCATCCCAGCTACTCAGGAGGCTGAGATCTGAGGACCGAGGTTCAAGGCCAACCTGGGCAGAAAAGGCTGTGAGGGTTTTATCTCACACCACCAAAAAGCCAGAAATGGAGCTGTGGCTCAAAGTGGTAGAGCTCCAGCCTTGAGTGCAAAAGGTCAGGGACAGCGCCCAGGCCCCAAGTTCAAGGCCAGGACTGGCACCAAAAGAAAGAACGGGCCTGCTACACTCAGCTCTGCCTTTGGCAGGTCACCCAAGGTGGTGGAGTGGGGGGTGGGTGCTGGAGGTAAGAGGAGCAGCAGTGGCACAAAGACACCCACCCCACCCCTGCCCGCTCACAGACTCCTTTCCCGGCCAGGTCGGCTCCTGTGGCTTCAACAGCCGCATCCTGACCCACGTGTACCCCATCCGGCTGGTGAAAGTGAACGAGGAGACCATGGAACCGCTTCGCGACGCCCAGGGCCTGTGCATACCCTGCCAGCCCGGTAAGCAGAGGCCCCAGGGCAGGGAGGTCCCCCCCCCTCCCGCACCCCTCACCTGCTCCGAGCCCGGCTCCTCCCCAGGGGAGCCTGGCCTCCTGGTCGGCCAGATCAACCAGCAGGACCCACTGCGCCGCTTCGATGGCTACGTCAGTGACAGCGCCACAGACAAGAAGATCACACACAGCGTGTTCCGCAAGGGTGACAGCGCCTACCTGTCAGGTGTGCAGCCCGCCCGGGCCGGGCCAGTGGCCCGTCCTCCCGGCTGACCCAGCCCCTGCCCTCATAGGGGACGTGCTGGTGATGGACGACCTGGGCTACATGTACTTCCGGGACCGCAGCGGGGACACCTTCCGCTGGCGCGGGGAGAACGTGTCCACCACGGAAGTGGAGGGTGTGCTGAGCCGCCTGCTGGGGCAGACGGACGTGGCCGTGTACGGGGTGGCTGTGCCAGGCAAGTGCCAGGAGGCTGTGCAGGGTGCAGAAGGCCCAGGGTCCCTGCAGAGGGGTCCCTGGGTCCAGACGCCCTGGATGGCGCACGGGCGGGTGTGGTGTAGGCTCACCTGTGCCGGCGCTGCTGTCAAACTGGGGCGCGGGGCCAGCCGGGGGCTGTGAGGTGTTGGAGTGGAGTGGAGGGAGAGGTTCTCAGCTGGCCTCTGTACCCAGGGGTGGAGGGGAAAGCGGGCATGGCCGCCATCGCAGACCCCCACCGGCAGCTGAACCCGGACGCCATGTACCAGGAGCTGCAGAAGGTGCTGGCGCCCTATGCCCGGCCTATCTTCCTGCGCCTGCTGCCTCAGGTGGACACCACAGGTATGGTCCAGCAGCCTCTGCGGTGGGATGGAGCAGGGCAGGCCAGGCCCGGGTAGGGGGTAAGGCAGGGGCTCCCTCACATGACAGACGGAGATGTTCACTTACATCCGATCCAGCTCCGAGAGCTGTCCTCCCATCGCCCCCCCCAAGTCCTCCCGGGCAGAGGCTCGGCACATGGCCTTTGGTTGGAGAGACACCCTTTTCCTCTTAGGGTCTCCTCTTGCAATGTTGTGTAGTCTGCTACCACACAGTGCACATGTTGCCTTAAAGGCCACAGCAGTGGATGCTGACAGGTTGTCCAGTAACACAGTCTCTGCCTTCACAGCACAAACCTAGTCACAGGCAGTGTGTAAATGAACAGGCATGGATATGTGCCAATAAATCTTTATTGATGCGCACAAGTTGAGGGCCAAATCTAGCCCTCAGATTGTAAGTGGTGAAACTGGCCCAGTGTGCGAGGCACAGCCACGCTCAGTTGTGTGTGAGGGGGGAGGGGAATGTGTGGACAGCAGAGCAGACAAACATCGAGCTGCGGGGCGTGGGAGAGGCCCTGGGAAGGCAGCGGGGCGGGGCCAGAGGCCCCGGCCGGCCCGGATGCCACAGCGCCCCTGTCCCCGCCACCCAGGCACCTTCAAGATCCAGAAGACAAGGCTGCAGCGAGAGGGCTTTGACCCCCGCCAGACCTCAGACCCGCTCTTCTTCCTGGACCTGAAGCAGGGCCACTACCTGCCGCTGGACGAGGGGGTGTACAGCCGCCTCTGCGCGGGCGCCTTCGCCCTGTGAGGGTCCCCCGGGCCGGGCCCTCGCCGCCGTGCCTTAGCCCGGCACACCCCGCGGGACGCCTGGCTGCGGCCTCCGGAGGAGCCGGAGGTCGGTTTCTTTTCCTTCTTTCTGAGGCCGTCTGCGGTGTGGCGGCCGGGCCCTTCCGAGGGGCTGTCCACCCACCTTCCTCCTCCCAGGTCCTGGAAGCCTCTGGAACGGACCGCGACCCGGCCCGCGGGGCTCAGGGGCGGCTCCCGGGGCCCGGCCCGGCCCTGGGCGCCGCGATGGAGGGACGTCCCCCGTCCCTCCCGACAGTGGCCTGGCTGCCCCTGGGTTCCGGTGCCCGGGCCGGGCGGGGGCCTGGCCGGGACCTCCCGGCCGGCCAGCGGCTCTCAGAAATAAACGCTGCCGTCCGGCACCAGCCGGGGCTCGTGGCTCGTTGCTCTTCTGTCCCCGCCGGGCCCAGCTTCCCCGGGACGTGGCGGGTTCCGGGCCCGGCTCCTCCCGGGGCCGTCGGGCGGGGCGGCTTCCCCGCAGCTGTGTGCGCGTGCGCGTGCGCGCGCTCGGGCTGGCCTGGCCTCTGGCTCTTGCTCGCTCCAGGCGGGCGCTCCGCCACTCGAGCCGCAGCGCCGCTTCTGACTTTGCGGTGGTTAACTGGGGCCCCCTCGTGGGGACGTTCCTGCCCGGGCTGGCCTCGAACCGCGATCCTCTGACCTCCGCGTAGCTGGGAGGTCGGGCCCGAGCCTCGGGCGCCCAGCGAGAGGCCGGAAGTGGGGCTGCGGCTCCCGGGTAGAGCGTTCGAACCCCGCGGCCGGCCGGCAGTCACGCGCGCGAGTGGGAGCTCCGAAGCTCTCTCCTCCAGGACGCCGCAAGCCGCGGCTCCCGGGTCCTCCAGCCGCCGCCACCCCGCCCTCCGCCCCGCCCGGCAGCGCTCCGGCTTCGCCCACCGCACTGCGCACGCGCGCCCGGCGGCCGCCCAGGTGCGCGCAGGCGCACTTCCGCCTCCCAGCGCCCGCCGCCGCCGCCATGGCCGCGCCCGCCCCGGGCCTCATCTCCGTCTTCTCCAGCCCGCAGGAGCTGAGCGCGTCGCTGGCGCAGCTGGTGGCACAGCGGGCCGAGAGCTGCCTGGACGGGGCCCGCGCCCGCTTCGCGCTCGGCCTGTCGGGCGGCAGCCTGGTCTCCATGCTGGCCCGCGACCTGCCCGCCGCCGCCGCCGCCGCCGGGCCCGCCCGCCTCGCGCGCTGGACGCTGGGCTTCTGCGACGAGCGCCTGGTGCCCTTCGAGCACCCCGAGAGCACGTTCGGGCTGTACCGGGTGAGCGCGGGGTCACGCGGGGGCCGCGCCCCCACCCGCGGCCCGCATCCCCGCCCCGCGGCCTCCAGGCCGCCCCCAGGCCTCTGGGTTGGTTGTCGGGGGCTCGGGCTCGGGTCCCTACGGATCCGGACGTCCTGTCTCACAAACAGGGAAACTGAGGCACGGAGGAGCCGCGGCCCTCCCTGCCGTCTATACGCGGGAGCCGCGGCGGGCTTTCCCGGGAGCTCCGTGGGGCGATCTTCGCGGTGGCGTCGCCGGTGACATTGTCCCTCCGTCCGCACAGACGCACCTGCTCTCCAGACTGCCCGTCCCCGCCAGCCAGGTGCTCAGCATCGACCCCGCGCTGCCGCTGGAGGCGGCGGCCGAGGACTACGCGACCAAGCTCAGACAGGTGGGCGGGGCTGGCGGGCGGGGCGGGGCTAGGTGGGGTAGGGCGGGGCGAGACGGAGGGGTAGCCGGGGGCGGGGCTTGCGGGGGCGGGGCTAGGTGGGTAGGGCGGGGCGGGGCCTGTGGGGCCGGGCCTGCAGGGCTCTGCCGGGCCGGAGCCTTGGGTCCCCGTCCCCCTTGCAGCCGCTCCTCCCCGGCCCGCAGCAGCGGACACGTACAGGTAAAATGTGGAACCTGAGAAATTAGAGCCCCTTGGTTAGTGCCTGGGGGCCGCGCCCAGGACCCCTGCACGTGGGGTCTCGGCAGCCAGGGCCGCAGCCAGACCTTGCCTCAAAAAGGCGAACATTTAACCAGGCGCCGCCGGCTCTCGCCTGTCATCCCAGGTACCCAGGAGGCTGAGATCTGAGGATCGCGGTTCAAAGCCAGCCCGGGCAGGGAAGTCCGTGGGACTCTTATCTCCAGTGATCCACCAGAAGACTGGAAGTGGCACTGGGGCTCAAGTGGTAGAGCGCCAGCCTTGAGCTGGAGAGCTGAGGGACAGCGCCCAGGCCCAGAGTTCAAGACCCAGGACCGACAGAAGAAAACCAACACAAAAATGTCGATTGTTCTGTGGCAGCTGCAGCACCCACGGGAGGGGGGCTGGCTCCGGCAGCAGAGAACCGTGGCCCGGAGGTCGACCTTTGACCCCTGCTCTTCCCCTCCAGGCCCTCGGAGAGGATGCCATTCCAGTGTTTGACCTGCTGATCCTGGGCGTGGGCCCCGATGGCCACACCTGCTCCCTCTTCCCCGGACATCCCCTCCTGCAAGTGAGCACCAGACTCACCTTCCAGCCCACTCTGCCTTCTGAGACTCAGTTTACCCATCTTAACACATGCAGGTGAAGCCGGATGTAATCCTAACCACTCAGGAGCCTGAGATGTGGAGGGCTTTGCCTTGAAGCCAGACAGCCCAGGCAGAAAGATTCTCCACATCCCACCTGCAACCAGCCAGCAAAAAGCTGGACTGGCCGGGTGTCTGAGGCTCACACCTGTAAGCCCAGCTGTGCCGGAGGCTGAGATCTGAGGATCAAGGTTCGCTGCCAGCCCAAGCAGGGAAGTCCACGAGATGGCTTTGGGTGTTTTTTTTTTTTTAATGTTGATTGTGGGGCTTGAACTCAGGACCTGGGCTCTGTCATTAAGTCTTTTTGTGCTCAAGGCTAGTACTCTACCATTGAGCCACATCGCCACTTCCAGTTTTTGAGTGGTTAATTGGAGATGAGAGTCTCATGGGGACTTCTCTGCCTGGGCTGGCTTTCAACTGAAATCCTCCAATGTCAACCTCCTGAGTAGTTAGGATTACAGGTGTGAGCCACTGGCAACTGGCTCCATGTTATCTCCAATTAACTATCTCCAATTAACTACCAAGAAAGTCAGAAGTGGAGCTGTGGCTCAAATGGTGCAGTGCCAGCCTTGAGCAAAAGGGATGGGAGACAAGCCAGGCACTGATGACTTAATCCTAGCTACTCAGGAGGTTGAGATCTGGGAATCACAGTTCAAAGCCAGCCCAAGGCAGGAAAGTCTGTGAAACTCCACTAAACCACCAAAAAAAAAGAGCTGTGATTCTAATGTGGTAGAGTGATAACTTTGAGCAAAGGAAGCTTGGCTAGCACCCAGGACCTGAGTTCAAGCCTCAGAAGCAGCAGCACGTGCACACACACACACACACACACGGCTGGAGTCAAGGCTTGGCTCACATACTAGTGACCCAGCCAAACAAGTTTGAGATGTGAAGTTCAAATGGAGGTACCAGCAAAAGAAAACAAACAAACCAACAAACCCACTAAGGTGGAGATGGGCCGAGTACATGCCTTGCCCATGGAACACCCCATTTCACCCCAGCCCTGCAGAAACTAAACTAAACGAGTGACCTGGTCTTGTCCTGTCCCCACAGGAGCGAGACAGGATTGTGGCCCCCATCGGCGACTCCCCGAAGCCGCCGCCCCAGCGCGTGACCCTCACGCTGCCTGTGCTCAATGCTGCACAGACCGTCGTCTTTGTGGCCACTGGGGAAGGCAAGGCTGCCGTCCTGAAGGTAACAGCTGGAGGTCCAGTTGGGGGTGCTGGGGTGGAATTTGAGCCAGGCACTGCTGTGGGGGGCGGATGGAAAGATTCCCCAGTAATTCTTGGATTGAAGGAAAGTGAACGCTATGATTAGAGGCTAGTTAGGAATTCCCAGCAAGAAAGCAGAGTTGGTAAGATAAGGCCAAAGTGGCACCCAGAAGCAAATTCATAGCATTAAAAGGTGTGTGTGTGTGTGTGTGTGTGTGTGTGTGTGTGTGTGTGTGTGTGTTTTAATGAAGTAGGGAATAAACACTTTTCTAAAACTAGAAGGCCAATAATGTAAATGTAAAAAGAGTTAACAGAAATAATAAAAATCAGATGAGTGGGGTACCAGAGGCTCATTCCTGTCATCCTAGCTACCCAGGAGGCTGAGATCTGAGGATCAAAATTTGAAGCCAGCCAGGGCAAGAATGTCCATGAGAACATGGCTGGGAAGGTGGCTCTGGTAGAGCGCTTGCCTTGCATGCATGAGGCCCTGGGTTCGATTCCCCAGCACCACATAAGCAAAAAGAAAAAAAAACCGGAAGTGGTGCTGTGGCTCCAGTGGTAGAGCGCTAGCCTTGAGCTGAAGAGCTGAGGGACAGCGCCCAGGCCCAGAGTTCAGGCCCCACGACCAGACCGAAAAAAAAAAAAGGAATGTCCGTGAGATTTTTTTTTTTTTGTCAGTTTTGGGGCTTGAACTCTGAGCCTGGCACTGTCCCTGTGCTCTTCAGCTCAAGGCGAGTGCTCTACTGCTTGAGCCACAGCATGTTTTTCTAGTGGTTTTTGTTGGAGATAAGAGTCTCAGGGACTTTTCTGCCCAGGCTGGCTTTGAACGGTGATCCTCAAATCTCAGCCTCCTGAGTAGCTAGGATTACAGGCATGAGCCACTGGCGCCCGGCTCCATGAGATTCTTATTTCCAGTTAACCACCAAAAGACTGGAAGTGACCCTGTGGCCCAAGTGGTAGAACATTAGCCTTGAGCCAAAAAGCTCAGACAGTGCCCAGGCCCTGAGTTCAATCTCCAGGACACATGGACATGGACACACACACACACACACACACACACACACACACACGTCAGAAGTTGAGGAGCTGCTTTAATAGTTTTTGAAAGCTTATTATAAATAGGCATGCTTTTTCCAAACACCATCAGACCCACAGAGGTTTGATTTGCCTCTGGGCAAGTCCAAATCCCAAACCTTGGAGCTCCAGTTTAGCGGCAGGTGGAAACTGTCCTACACACATTTGTGGGCCTGTCTGGCCTCATTTGCCTATGCAAATGGCCCCAAGTCAGAGAAGTTTTTCCTGTGGTGGCGTCTGGACTGAGGGTCACTCAGCCAGTGCCCACCCTTCCCTGACCCCTGGGGGTTCCCCAGGCGCTGTGGGGCACTTGGGGAGGGCCCTGGGGTGCTCGGGGTGGGGTCCCCCGCCTTGTCCTGATACCCTGCCCCACCCCGCAGCGCATCCTGGAGGAGACGGAGGAAAGCCCGCTCCCGGCCGCGCTGGTGCGGCCACACACGGGGCAGCTCCACTGGTTCCTGGACGAGTCGGCCGCACACCTGCTGACGGTGCCCTTCGAGAAGCATTCGGCTTTGTAGCGGCCGGACCCCAGGCCGGGCCCCTGCTTGGCGCACGGACCATGGTGTGCGGGCCACCGGCATTAAACAGAGCTCTGCCAAAGCCCTGGCTCTGCTGTGTGGTGGACGTGTATGGAGGCTGGCCCATCCTCTGGAAGGCGGCCTGGGCAGGATGTAGGCATGGCCAGCGGGCCTCCATCCTGGCCTCCCACTTCCGGGGTGCCCCCATCCCAGTGCCCACCTCTCCCTCAGCGGCCTGTGGGCCGCCCTCCCCCCGGCGGGGTCACCTCAGCCTCCTTCAGTGCCCGGCAAGGGCCTCACTCCAGATGGGGCGTTCCTGCCTGGGGGTCCCGCGGAGTCCCGCGCCTCCACGCCGGTGGTTCCAGTCTCGTAGACGCGCGCCCGGCCCAAGGTGGCTGCTTGTGTTGCAGGTGTCCTCACATCCCACCACAGAGGGAAAGAGAATGAAACAGCACTCACTGTCCACGCCTGGACACTGCACAGCCACGCGGCCCTCCACACGCAGTATCCATGGCCATGCAGCCCCTCCACGCGCGGTGTCCATGGCCACGCGGCCCCTCCACACGTGTCCACGGCCACGCGGCCCCCTCCATGCGTGGTGTCCATGGCCACATGGCCCCTCCACACACAGCCACGGCCACGCAGCCCTCCACACACACAGCCATGTGGCCCCTCCACACGTGTCCATGGCCATGCGGCCCCTCAAAACGCAGTGTCCACGGCCACACGACCCCTCCACACATACAGCCACGGCCATGCGGCCCCTCCACACACAGCCACGCGGCCCATCCACACATGGTGTCCACAGCCACGCAGCCCCTCCACACGCAGTGTCCACAGCCACGTGCCCCTCCACGCACAGCCACGCAGCCCCTCCACATGCACAGCCACGCAGCCCCTCCACATGCGGTGCCCACAGCCACACGGCCTCTCCACACGCGGTGTCCACAGCCACGTGCCCCTCCACAGGCGGTACAGCCACGCAGCCCCCCCCACGCAAAGCCACAGCCATGCGGCCACTCTGCACAGTGTCCACAGCCCCGCGTGGACATTGTGCTGCACAGCCCTGGTCTGGTGCCAGCGGCCTGTGCCTCTTGGAGCCCATGGGCCACCCACCTGCGCTCTGCATCCTCCCGTGCAGGCCTCCCCCAGGCTCTCGGGGCGGAGGCTGGGGCCTGGGTGGCGGTCCTGAGCTGCCCATGGCCCAGCCCGCCGTGGGAACTGAAACCCCCAGGTGGTGGCAGTTGTAAGGGCGGCAAACTGAAACCCCGGTGGTTTCCATCGGCTCCTGGCACCTGGGGAAAGTGGGCTGAGCACCCACCAAGGCAGGCAGCCGCCTGCTGGGACCTGGCGGTGGCCGAGCCATGCCCCCAGTGGCTGCCCCTTCCCGCAAGGTCGTTCCCCCTGTACACCGGGCACCTAGCCTCCTCATGGCCCAAGGTGGCTGCCCCTGCCCAGTGGCGATGCCCACATTTGCCCCACTGGGAGAAGATGAGGCTCCTAAGTGGAAGCGGGGCTCTGCTGTGGTAGCTGGCTGGGCTGGGCAGGCAGGGCCAGCCATGCCGGGATACTGAGGCGCCAAGGAGCCAGCTGCCCCCCTGGGTTTCCTGTACCCAGCAAAGGCCCCACCCCACCCCCCACCCCCGCCAGGGGGCGGCCTGGGCTCCGCCCGCGTGGAGAACCGTCTATCCAACATGGGGACGGAGAGGGGCTCAGGGGCAGGGCTTGTACCGTCCTCTGCACCCCGGCCTCCCTTGGCCCTGCCCAGGCCCCCGCGGAAACCACGGTCCCCGGAGACAGGCGGGGAGGGGGACAGGGAGGGGCGAGGGGCGCGGCCGAGCGGGGCAGCGGGGCCTCCCGCGCTGAGCCCGCAGGGGTCCCGAGCAGGATGGGCGCGCCGGCCTCCAGGCCGCTGGACAAGCAGCAGCAGCAGCGTGTGAGGGGTGAGTGGGGCGTCCTCCCCGGCCGGCTGTGCGGGAACCCGAGGCCCGGCCCTCCCCGGCCGGCCGGGCTGTGCGGGAACCCGAGGCCCCCGTGGGGAGAGACCCCGCGTGCGCCGGCCGGGCGCGGGCCCGCACAGGGTAAAGGCTGCGCCTCTCGTGGAGGGCGGGAGGCGGAGGCGGAGCACTTGGGACGCGGGAACTGCCTTTTCTGGTCGTTCTCCCGTGGGCCGGCCTTGGGGCGCGGCGGGGCTGCGCCGTCCCGTCCCGTCCCGTCCCGTCCCGGGAGCGAGCCCGGCCGCCCCGGCCCCACTCCGCCGCGCTGGCTGTGAGCTACGCGGAGACCGACTCCAGTCCTGGGCTGACTGCAGGCTGGCGCTGCGCCGCGTGCGGGGCGTGCGGGGCGAGCCTCTGCCGGCCCCGCCGCCCCCCTCCCCGTCCCCCTCCCCTCTGCCTCGACCTCCCCAAGCTCCTGGGTGCCGCCGGGGCCGCAGGCACGGGGAAGTCTGAGGACACCAGGGGCCTCGGGACTCCGTGGGGCGCGTGGCCACCACGCAAGGCCGGGCCGTGCGCGCCCTAGCCGAGTGCAGGTCCCGGTCCGGGGCGGTGATGGCAGAATAGGAGCTCGCGGCGGCTCCCGTCCGCCGGCGCTCAGGGCTGCAGCCCGCGCCGTTGTGCCCGGCCCCACAGACCGCATGGACGCGCTGCTGCGGACCTTCCTGCCCCGCTACCGCGCCCAGCTGGCGGCTGCCGTCCTGAGGCGACTCTCCGGGGAGCGGGGCCCGCGGGAGCCGGCGGGGCCGCAGCTGCTCCGCAGCGAGGTGAGCGCCGCGGGGAGGGCCGGCGAGAGGCGGGGCCGCACGCGGGGCGGGGCCTCGGCGCGTGCCGCGAGGCGGGAGCTTCAAGCCGGCGCCGCACGGTGGCGACCCCTGCTCACCCCGCTCTCCTGAGCAGAAGCTGCCCCGGGTCCGCGAGCACCGAGGGGCCCTGGCGTGGCTGCAGGGCCGCCCGCCGCGGTGGCAGCCCGTGTTCTGCGTCCTGCGCGGGGACGGCCGCCTGGAGTGGTTCGGCCACCAGGAGGTGAGAGGACGCGTGGGGGGCGCTCGGGCTGAGGCTCCGCCCAGGTGGATAAACGGAGACCCGGGCCCGGGATGGCTGTCAGACTTCTGCTCCCAGCTAGGAGCTGGCAGAGATTCCTTGCGGCCCCAGACTTAGGTTCCATACCTTTGACCTGGGGGTGTGGAGGTCAGGAAATTCTCAGGGCGGAAGTGCAGAGGAGGGGCCGACGCGGGGAGGGTCTCCAGCTGGTCGTCTGGTTGTCCTTCCCAGGAATTCGAGAACGGGGTTCGCCCGCTGGGCTCCGTCGCCCTGACGGGGTTCACGCTGGGGACCTCACGGCGGGACGTCCAGCTCGGCCGGCAGCTTGCAGGTCAGCTCCGCGCGGAGCACGGGGCGCCCGCCGCGCCCTCGGGCCGGAGCGGGGTGGGGGGACCCCAGAGGCCCCGGCCCGCCTCCTGTCCCGGAGCGAAGCGCACAGGGGCAAAGCCTGAGCCGGCAGGCATGTGCAGGCTGGACGCGGGCCGGGCCACTGGCCTCCTTCCGCCCCGTGTCTTCGGCGTCCCACGCAGCGGAGCACAGGGGCTAGCGTGCCCGCACCCTCCCTCGCTGCCCCGCCCTGCGCCCCGCGGTCAGTGGGCTCTTCTGCCCCGAGGTGAGCTGGATGGGCCGGGAGCGCGCCTGCAGGGACGGTGCTCGGACATCTGCACACCTCCGGCCGGCCTGACCCCAGCCCGGCCGGGGGGAGGGGCGAGGGAGCCGCCCCGCCCGCCTCTGCAGAGGGGTGTGCCCGGGGGGGCGGGGCCTGCACGGGACGGGGTGTGCCCGAGGGCGGGGCCTGCACGGGGCGGGGTGTGTCCAGTGGCGGGGCCTGCACGGGGACGGAGTCTCCACGGGGCGGGGCCTGCACAGGGCGGAGTCTGCACGGGGCGGGGCCTGCACGGGGGCGGAGTCTGCCCAGGGCGGGGCCTGCACGGGGGCGGAGTCAGCCCGGGGGCGTGGTCAGCCCGGGGCATGGTCAGCCCGGGACAGGGTCAGCCCTGGCGCCTCTCTCAGGGAAACGCGGCTCTGTTCTTGTCCGCAGACCGCGGCCAGGAGAGGCGGGCAGCCCCGCCGGAGGTCCCAGCGCGCTTCCCCTTGTGTCTGCGACACCCTTTCCGCCAGCCCCTCTGCTTCTCGGGCCCCAGTGCGGAGCTTCAGCGTGCCTGGAGGCTGGCCCTGCAGAGCGCCATCCGGCTGCGGGACACCGGTGCGGGGCGGGAGGGTGCGGGCGGGGCGGGACGACGGGGCGGGACGGCGGGGGGGGGGCGCGCTGACCGCAGCCCTCAGTCCTGCAGCGCAGCCAGGACCCCGCGGCCCGCGCCTTCCTGGACGCTGTCCGACACTACCGACAGCACCAGGGCCACTTCGGCGAGGACGACGCGACGCTGGGCTCGGACGCCGAGGTCAGCGCCCCCACCCCGGCCCGCGGCCGCCCCGTCCGGTCCGCGTGGCGCCCACAGCCCCTCCCCCGCAGGTGCTGACCGCGGTGCTGATGCGGGAGCTGCTGCCGGACCTGCGGGCGCGGACAGGGCCGGGCCTGCGGGGCGCCGCCTGGGCCGAGGTAGGGGCGGCGACCTGGCGGGCCGGGCCGGGCTCGCCGCCCCGCGTGCCCGTCCCCACACCGATCTCTGTCCTCCGCGGGCTCCCGGCCCGTGCAGCTGCTGGACACGGTTTACGCCTTGGTTCTGGCCGAAGCCTCCGCGGGGCTCTGCGCCTTCCAGCCAGAGAAGACCGAGCTGCTGGCGACGCTGGAGAGGACGGTGCGCGTCGACCTGGACCAGACGCTGCAGCTGCGCGCGCTCGCCGCGGAGAGAATTCGGGGTGAGGCGGGGCGGGGCCCCAGGAGAAGGCGCCAATGGCCAGAACGGGGGACAGGATGTTGGGAGGGACGGGGCCACACGGGAGAGGGGCGGGACTAGAGACACAGACTGGGGGTGGCTTACGTAGCGGGCGGGCGGGGCATGAGCTGGGACTGGCAGGAACGCGGGCAGGAGCCCTGTCACTGGGCCGGGCATCTGGGGGGCGGGGCGTTCCACGCTGCCAGTGGGGATGCAAGTTCGAATACGCCTGCCTCCCTAGCGTGGGCCTCCCGCCAGTCCTCCTTGTGAGGTGGGGTGGGCACTGAGCCCGTGCTTCTGTGCGCCCCGCTTCCCCACCTCCACGTCCCTCTCTGCTCCGGGGCCCGGCTCCTCCCTCCCTCCACCCCATGCCCGCGGGCGCCCTGCGGGAGACCCAGCGCGTCTTCCCCCACCAGCGGACGTCCAGGGTGCGTTGGAGTCGCGTCTGCGCCCAGCTCTGGATGCGTGGCTGCCCGGGGCCGCGCAGGCGCTGCTGGACGCCGTGGGGGCCACGCTGGACGCGGTGAGGAGCCTCCTCACAGGGGCCGTGGACCGCCTGACCCGCCGGCTGCGCGGGAGGCCCTCAGCCGCGGGGCTCCGCCGGGAGGTGAGTGCGGGCGGCGGCGTGGGGCCAGGCTCCGGGCCGGTCCTGCCCCTCACCGCCCCGCCCTCCCCAGGCCCCGCCCCCTCACCACCGCCCCCCAGACCACACCCCTGGCCTCCGCCTCCTCCCCACTGCCCCGCCCCAGACCACGCCTCCTCCCCACCGCCCCGCCCCAGACCACGCCCCCGGCCACGCCTCCTCCCCACTGCCCCGCCCCAGACCACGCCCCGGCCTCCGCCCCTCTCCGGCCCCGCCCTTCAACGCCCGCCCCGCAGGTGCACGCCTTGGCCGCCATACCCTGGAGCCCTGAGCGGATGGAGAGGATCTATGAAGAGGCCGCGCGGCGCCGGGCGCAGCTGGCGGTGCTGACCGCCCCGTTCGGCTTCCAGGGCGCGCGGAGCCTGGTGTTCGGGGTTCAGGGTGTGGCGCAGCAGGTGCGGCGGGAAGCAGTTGGGAGGGGAGGGCCGGGTGGGCGGATGGACGGACGGATGGACCAAAAGGGCCTGCCCAGGACCGGGGCTGGAAGCGGGGGGGGGGGGGGGGGGGGGGAAGGGTCCGAGGCCGCCCCAAGCCCGCACGCTGTCGTCCCGGCGACCTCATGGCTCGGGGGCTAAGAACCGCGGTTCAACGCCAGGCTGGAGACTCCGGTGAGCCACCAGAAAGTCTGAAGTGGCGCTGCGGCCCAGGTGGTGGAGGGCCTGCGCAGAGCAAGCTCTGGGACAGCGCCCAGGGCCTGGGTTCGAGTCCCGGGATGAGCGCGCACAGTGCGGGATGCCGGGCTCCGGCTGCCCTCCCCCCTCTCCCCAGGCAGGGAAGGGGAGAGGCAGAGGCCCAGGCTTAGGGCTCACCTTCCACCTCCTCCCACAGCTCATGGCCGACGCAGTGGCCACCTTCTTGCAGCTGGCTGACCAGTGTCTGACCTCGGCTCTGGAGCCTGACCAGGCTTTGGGGCAGCTGGAGAGAGTCAGGAGCCTTGTGCTGAAGGTGAGGCGGGGTGGGGGGAATGGGCTGGGCCCTCATGCCCGTGGGGCCGTGCCCTCACGTCCACGGTGCCTGTGTTGTGCAGAAGCTCTCCTGGGACAGCGAGCAGGCACGGTGGAGGTGCTCCCGGGACTGGCTCCTCGCCACCCTCCTGCCCTTCTCTCTGGGCCAGCTGGGCCAGGCCCAGGCCGTGAGTAAGGGGCACTGGGAAGCAGAGAGAAGTGGGGTCCAGGCAGTCAGCAGGCCTCTCCTTGACACCTCAGGGCAGGAAGTAGTTTGGGAGCTCTTGCCTCACTTGTGGGAGGCCCTGGATTCATTCTTAGCACTGCAAAAACCTTGGGAGAAAAAGACGGAGATAGCAGGGAGCCTGTCTCGGGAAGGGCATTCTGAGCAATGGGCACAGTATGTACAAAGGCCCTGAGGCAGTCAGGGCTTCCAAGCTGGAGAAGAGGTAGGAGGATGGGGGGGGGCACAGGGCTCAGGGTCCCAGGCAAGGCCTCCTCAGATCTAATGGTGTGGTCCAGTGAGATAGCCCTGGTGGGACCCCAGCAGACACCCACTGGACCCGCTGAAAGGAGGCCTGGCGTGTTGGCGCCTCAGTCTACCTGTGTGGTGAGTGTGGGAGGCTGTATGACAAAAGACGTGGGTGTCCTCCCTGTCCAGGGGCTGGGACGCCTGAGGACGGAGCTCAGCACCTGCAGGATTTGTTGTTGGCACACATCCCTCATGACTCTTCCTCCAGCCCATGAATCCCCTCGGCTCACAGTCCATTCTACAGAGGAGAAAACAGGCCAGGGTCCCCAGCTCCTCAGGGGAGTGCTGACCCCCTTGTGGGCTGCGGGAGTCCCACTCTGTCCTCCCCCACCCCCATGTGTACAGGAGCTGCTGGAGGCGCAGGCTGTGGCCACGGAGGGGGACGCGGCCACCGGAGTCTATGAGGATGTGGTCCGGGAGGTCTTGCTGCAGAAGATCGATGATGGTGGGCCCACCTGCCTGCACACTGTCCTCTGCCCAGCTTTCCTGAGGCCTCTCTGAAGGCCAGAGCAGTGGGGGAAAGCTGCAAAGGTCATGTCCTGTAGTCTGGAACCCAGGCCTGGCCTCCCGCATGGCCCTGTTGCAGCTACTGCTGGGCTCTCTAGGCTGCCTGGTGTGGCCGGCAGCTCCCAGCTTGGCGACAGATGGCCCCTTGGGGCTGGACATGGCCAGTCAGAACTGCCAGCTCCCCAGAGCCAGGAGCAAGGGCCAGACTGCCCTTGTCTGGGGTGACTTCTCTCGGAACAGCTGGTGTGTTTGGTTTTCATGCGTTTATTTGTAAATTTAATTTGTGCTGGTACCAGAGCTGTTTGAACTGAGGGCTTCCTGCCTGCTTGGCTGGTGCTCTACCACTTGAGCCTTACCCCCAGCCTGACTTTTTTATTTTGTCAGTCATGGGACTTGAACTCAGGTCTTGGCACTGTCCCTGAGCTTTTTCACTCAAGGGTAGCGCTCTAACATTTCGGGCCACACTGCTCTTCCAGCTTTTAGGTGGTTAATTGAAGATGCGACTCCATGGACTTTCTTGCCCGTCAGACCTCAGCCTCCTGAGTAGCTAGGATTACCAGCTTGGGGGCCACTGTTCTGGAATCCGGATTTGAATCTGGGACTTGTGTTCACTGGGCAGGTGCTCTGCTGCTTACCCCACACCTCCAGCTCTGGCTGATGTTTTAGGTAGAAAAAAGAAAAGCTGTTTTCTGCCTGCCAAGCTAAATCTAGACGGGAGTCCTGGAGCGTGATCCCTAAGGGAACCCATGGTCTTCAGTTGATGTGTGATGTCTGTGGCGAGCTGGAGGAGGTGGCGGATCCCAGATAGGTGGATCCTGTGGGGATTGACTAGCAATGTCTGCCACAGGCACAGCCGCGACCAAGGCTCCTGTGAACTGGTGTCTGGGTTCTTGGATGCATCAGGTTTGTCTCCCCTTTCAGAATTGAGAAAGGCGCTCGGTGCCAGCACCTCCTGTCCTCTGACAGACTGTGCAGAGGCCCCACGGGCCCAGGAGCAAGCAGGTAAGGCCCTGGGACTTGGCAGTGACTTGCTGGGGCTGGAGAGGCCACGGGGTGTGGACCCCTCATCTCACAAGTTGGCCAAGTGGGTGCAGAATGGGACAGGAGCCATCAGCAAGGGTCCAGGAGGCCCAGGCTCCCAGGACACGCTTGCGCGCTCGGCCTGCGGGCACTCAGGTGGGACTGTCCCATCTCATCTGTCCTGGTGTGGTAGGACAGCTCCCAGCATCCACTTCCCGCCCTCTACCCTGGAAAGGGCAATGGCGGCAATGCACTCTTGGGTGTCCTCCAGCGGGGTCAGCATCCGAGGGGTCAGCACACAGCCAGCTGATGCCGGAAGAAGCGGCTATGCCCGCTGACACACGCATGCGCACACATCACCTCACAGAACGGCCCAGTCCTCTCCCCCTGCCCCCTCCTCCACTTCCTCCTTGTCCCGCCCTCTGCCCTCCGTCTGGTGGGCTCTGCTGTCCAGACCCACCGGGGACGTTTATCCTTGGCAGGAGCGGGCCCAATCTGACTTCCGGGACCAGAGCTGCGAACCGGCGGGCGAGCGAGCGACCTGGGCAGGGCGGACCCCGCAGACCCATCCCGCCCCGGGTCCCGCAGACCCTTCCCGCCCCGGGTCCCGCAGACCCTTCCCGCCCCGGGGCTCGGCATTACAGCTCTGTGGCGTCCACACTCACGCGTCCGTTTGCCGTGTGTTTACTGGCTTTATGTGGACAGCGTCGGTTGCCCCGCAGCCGGCCCGCGCCTTCTTCCCGGCACGCAGGGCTCCCCGCGAGGCCGCGCGGCCGGCCCGCCCGCCGGTCAGCTCCGGGGGGAGGCTTCCTGCCCGTTCCCGCCGGTCAGCTCCGGGGGGGGGGGAGGCTTCCTGCCCGTTCCCGCCGGTCAGCTCCGGGGGGGGGGGAGGCTTCCTGCCCGTTCCCGCCGGTCAGCTCCGGGGGGGGAGGCTTCCTGCCCGTCCCCGCCGGTCAGCTCCGGGGGGGGGAGGCTTCCCACCCGTCCCCGCCGGTCAGCTCCGGGGGGGGGGAGGCTTCCCACCCGTCCCCGCCGGTCAGCTCCGGGGGGGGAGGCTTCCTGCCCGTCCCCGCCGGTCAGCTCCGGGGGGGGGAGGCTTCCCACCCGTCCCCGCCGGTCAGCTCCGGGGGGGGGGAGGCTTCCCACCCGTCCCCGCCGGTCAGCTCCGGGGGGGGAGGCTTCCTGCCCGTCCCCGCCGGTCAGCTCCGGGGGGGAGGCTTCCCACCCGTCCCCGCCGGTCAGCTCCGGGAGGGGCTTCCCGCCCGTCCCCGCCGGTCAGCTCCGGGGGGGGGGGGGGAGGCTTCCTGCCCGTTCTCGCCGGTCAGCTCCGGGGGGGGGGGGAGGCTTCCCGCCCGTCCCCGCCGGTCAGCTCCGGGGGGGGGCTTTCCGCCCGTCCCCGCCGGTCAGCTCCGGGGGGGGGCTTCCCGCCCGTCCCCGCCGGTCAGCTCCGGGGGGGGGGCTTTCCGCCCGTCCCCGCCGGTCAGCTCCGGGGGGGGGGCTTCCTGCGCGTTCCCGCCCGGAGCCGCTTCCTTCCGCTCGGACCGCGAGCGCCGGGTCCCCCGGGACGGGATTGAGACGCTGATTTTGGGAAGGAGCCGCCGCAGCGCCCCGCACCCGTCCAGGAAAGCCTTTCGCACGGGTGTCCAGGCTGCCGACGGGGCGGGAGCCACGCGCTGCGGGGCGGGGGGGGGGGCGCCCGAGCCAGCGGCCCCACCAGAGAAGGAAAAGAAAGTTCTGCCCTCCGGGCCCCGCCCCCGCGGTGGCCCCGCCGCGGCGGCGCCCCGAGCCTCGGCCCGGGTGCGGGTCCTGAGCGGGAGCTCCAGCCCCGCGCGGTCTCTGCTTTACTCGAGGCTGGCGCGCTCGGCCACGTGGGCCGCAGCACCGCTTACCGGCAAAAAAAAGAAAAAAACCCTCCAAGGAGGACACCAGCCGGGCCGGGAAGCCCTTCCCGGGACCCGGCCCCCGCGCGAGCAGTGCGCCTTTAAGGCGGGAGCGGCAGGGGCGGGGAGGACGCGGCGGGGCGGGAGCTGTCGGAGGTCCGAGGCCCTAGGGCCTTTAAAGCCGGGCCCCAAGGCGGAGTCTGGGAGGCGGGACCGGATGGCCGGGCGCGCTCCGCCCCTTTAGGTCGCACGTCTTGGGCGGGGCTTCGGCGAACGATCACTCCCTTTAAGGCGCGGCCCGCGCCCGCCGGCAGAAAAGGGGCTTAAAGGCGACGCGTGGCGCGATGGCGGCGGCTCCGCGCGCGTGCGGGTGGCGCGGACAGCCGCCGCCCGGGCTGCTGCTGCCGCTGCTGCTGCTGCTGGCGCGCGCCGCCGCCTACTTCCCGGAGGAGCGCTGGAGCCCGGAGTCGCCGCTGCAGGCGCCGCGCGTGCTCGTGGCGCTGCTGGCGCGGAACGCGGCCCACGCGCTGCCCGCCACGCTGGGCGCGCTGGAGCGGCTGCGGCACCCGCGGGAGCGCACGGCGCTGTGGTGAGCCCCGCCCCGCCCCACGCCCGCCTCAGGAAGCCCACCGCCGAGCCTCTCCTCCCGCGGGGCCCGCGGAGGGGAAACTGAGGCATGGGCGCTGTGCCGTCCCCAGGGTGGCCACCGACCACAACGCGGACAACACCACGGCCGTGCTGCGGGAGTGGCTGGTGGCCGTGAAGAGCCTGTACCACGCGGTGGAGTGGCGGCCGGCGGAGGAGCCCCGGTGAGCCCGGACCCCTGCCCGGCCCGGCCCCCCCCCCCCCCCGCCCCGACCCCCGGCCCTGACCCCTGCTCCCCCGGCCCCGCCCCTACCCCCTGCTTCCCCGGGCCCTACCCCCTGCTCCCCCGGCCCCGCCCCTACCCCCTGCTCCCCCGGCCCCGGCCCTACCCCCTGCTCCCCCGCCCCTACCCCCTGCTCCCCCGCCCCTACCCCCTGCTCCCCCGCCCCTACCCCCTGCTCCCCCGGCTCCGCCCCTACCCCCTGCTCCCCCGGCCCCGCCCCTACCCCCTGCTCCCCCGGCCCCGCCCCTACCCCCTGCTCCCCCGCCCCTACCCCCTGCTCCCCGCCCCTACCCCCTGCTCCCCCGCCCCTACCCCCTGCTCCCCCGGCTCCGCCCCTACCCCCTGCTCCCCCGCCCCTACCCCCTGCTCCCCCGGCTCCGCCCCTACCCCCTGCTCCCCCGGCCCCGCCCCTACCCCCTGCTCCCCCGGCCCCGCCCCTACCCCCTGCTCCCCCCGGCCCCGGCCCTACCCCCTGCTCCCCCGCCCCTACCCCCTGCTCCCCCGCCCCTACCCCCTGCTCCCCCGGCCCTACCCCCTGCTCCCCCGCCCCTACCCCCTGCTCCCCCGGCCCCGCCCCTACCCCCTGCTCCCCCGGCCCCGCCCCTACCCCCTGCTCCCCCGGCCCCTACCCCCTGCTCCCCCGCCCCTACCCCCTGCTCCCCCGCCCCTACCCCCTGCTCCCCCGCCCCTACCCCCTGCTGCACAGCCCGGCACCCCCCCCCCCCCGCCCGCCTCTACCCCCTGCTCCACAGCCCCCTGCCCCCCCAGCCTGGCCCTGCCCCCCATCCCGCCCCACCAGCCTGGCCCTGCCCCCACCCCTTGCACCCCTAGCCTGGCCCTGCCCCCCCACCCCCTGCACCTCTAGCCTGGCCCTGCTCCCCCTCGCCCCTGCGCCCCCAGCCTGGCCCTGCTCCCCCTCGCCCCCTGTACCCCCAGCCTGGCCCTGCCCCCCCACCCCCTGCACCCCTAGCCTGGCCCTCCCCCCCAGCCCTGCTCACCTACTCTTGTCTGGTGCTCAGACCTGTGGCCCGCAGCCCGTCTCCCACCCTACCTCCCCTCTGGAGGCTGGGACCATGCGCAGATAAGGCCTTTCTGACCTCTGCCCTGGGTGATCTCCCTGGTAGTCCACCTGAGGACAAGGAAGCCACACTTCCACCTGCTCACCTGCGGCCTCCCTGCTGGCCGCTTCCACACCCAGCCCAGCTGTGCTCTGTCGTGGCCAGCCTCCTACGGGGCTCCTTCCCTGGGGGTGGGGTCTGACCTCTGCCCCTGTCGTGGCTCTCCTGGTGGCCCTGCCGGAGGTGTGGCATTGTCCTTCTCAGCCACTCTGGAGCTTCCCTCTGCCCCGCAGTATGGAGCTGTCTACCCCAGGGCCTTTGCCTGTGCTGTGCTCAGGGCCTCCGTCCCTGCCCTCCTCTGCCTCCTGCTCTCCCAGCCTCCAGGCCGGCTTGGGGTCTGGTCACCCCAAGCTGGCCCAGGGCCCCGTCCCCGTTCCTCACACCGCGGGAATCTCCACAGGTCCTACCCTGACGAGGAGGGTCCCAAACACTGGTCCGACTCCCGCTACGAACACGTCATGAAGTTGCGCCAGGCGGCCCTGAAGGCAGCCCGGGATATGTGGGCCGATTACATCCTGGTCAGTGTCCTTGGTGGTCTGGGGGGAAGTGGCCAAGGGGCAGCAGGGGCCACGGGGAAGCTGAGGGTTGACCGGGAGGCCAAGAGTTCCGGCAGCATGGCTGCAAGTGGCGGGTGACAGGGTCAGTGGGTCAGGGAACCGGGCCGGAGGCGGCTGGACACTGGGGCCAGCGGATGTCTGCGCCTGCGCACACGGGGCCGGGCGTCCCGGGCGAGGCGGGGCTGGGCGCTGGTTCCTTGTTGGTGCCATGGCCAGGTGAGAATCAACCTCCGGGCTCGGGTGGGTGAGTGATGGCGGCCAGCTCGGGGCCTCGCAGTGAGGGCTGCGGTGGTCATGGCTGTGTGTGCGCCCGGGAGGCCTGGCCCTGGCCAGTGAGCCCCAGCGGCTGCCCTGGGCCGCGGGAGGCCGGGGCGGGGTCCAGGCTGGGGGTGGCGCACGCAGGCGCGCGGGGGTTGTCGGCTGCCCAGTGGGGGTCCGCACATGTGGATCTTGCTCTTTCTGGAACCCTCCACACGTGGGCACTGTGCTCTGCTGCCCTGGGTTTGTCTCTTGTGGTCTGGGGTTGGTGTGATCTCCCCTTGTCCCCCAGGAAACCTGCCTTGGGACTCAGGAAACTGCTGGAAACTCGAAGAGTTTTGATAGTTACATTTTGTTTAACTGGGGTTCCTGTAAATGTTATTATGAGAAAGCCCTCTCTACCTTTTCGGAGAAAAAAAGCTGTGTCTATTACTGGAAAGAAAAAATCCTTACGTGGGTCCACCCACTGTGGAGCTTCAACTCGCTCCAAACCCACCCCTTCCCTGGTCTGTCTGCTTCCAGCAGGCCCCGCCCCCAGCGAGGCTCTGCCTGCCAGGGGGCCCTGCCCCGGACGCCCCACCCCAGCGAGGCCCGGCCCCTGAGGCCCCCCAGTGAGGCTCCGCCTGCAGGGCGGGCCCTGCCTCCGAGGCCCCACCCCAGCGAGGCCCCGCCCCCGAGGCCCCACCCCAGCGAGGCTCAGCCTGCAGGGCGGCCCAGCCCCAGAGGCCCCGCCCACGGAGGCCCCACCCCCAGCAAGGCTCTGCCTGCAGGGCGGCCCTGCCCCGGATGCCCCACCCCAGCGAGGCCCCACCCCCGAGGCCCCACCCCAGAGTGAGGCTCCACCTGCAGGGCAGCCCAGTCCCAGAGGCCCCGCCCATGGAGGCCCCACCCCCAGCGAGGCTCCGCCCCGAGGCCCTACCCCAGAGTGAGGCTCCACCTGCAGGGCGGCCCAGTCCCGGAGGCCCCGCCCACAGAGGCCCCACCCCCAGCAGGCCACTGCCTGAACAGACATGCTCTGTTCTCTGGAGGCCCCACCCCAGCTGAATCCACTGCCCGTGCAGACAGGCCCCGCCCTCTGAAGGCTAGGCCCCAGGTTACTGCCTGCTCGGACAGGCTCCGCTCTGGAGGCCCCACCCCAATGAGGCCTTGCCTGCAAGAAGGCCACGCCCCTTGGATGCCACGCCCTACTGAGGCCAGTCCTGCACAGGCTCCGCCCTCGAGCTCCAAGCTAAGCCTAGCCTACAAAACAGACCCCGCCCACAGAACCTGCCCTCAGAGGCCCCGCCTCAGTGAGGCCACGCCTACAAAACAACCCACCCCGCGAGGTCCCGCCCCCAGGACCCCGCATCTGGCCCAGCTCTCGTCTGTCTCAGGGCCGCATTTCTGGCGGCGTCTCCACGGTGACAGGCGGCCCGCTTTGCTCCTTTTGCTGGCGGAGTGATACTCCACAGCCTGCGGGCCGGGGCCCTGCTGTTCCCGGCCCTCTTGGGTTCGGCCTGGCGCCTGGCTGGCGTGGGGAGCCAGTGCTCACTGAGCAGGGCTCCAGGCTCCCCCGCGTGTCTGAGGCCCCAGCCCCCAGGTGTGACCGCCGTGCGTATCCTGCAGTTTGTGGACGCGGACAATCTGATCACCAACCCCAACCTGCTGAGCATGCTCATCGCGGAGAACAAGACGGTGGTGGCGCCCATGCTGGAGTCCCGGGCTGCGTATTCCAACTTCTGGTGTGGCATGACCTCCCAGGTAGGCGGGGCCTGGCGGTGGAGGCCCGGCCGGGGGCTGCCCACGCAGGTCGCCTCGCGTGTCCTAAGCTCACACCGCCGCCTGGTGGCGGGTCTCAGGCACGCTTTGATCTGGGAGTCCTTTTTTCCACCCATTATGTGGCTTTGTTCTCGGGCTCCTCAGGATTAAAGGCCCAGCCAAGGTCCACTCTGATTGGGTATTGCAGGCTCCTGTCCCCCCACACAAGGCTCTGATTGGCCAGGCCTGGTCACTCGGGAGACGGAGGGGGGGGCCTGCGGTCATGGAAATGTGTCGGGGCTGAGGCGCGAGTCCGCTTGGCAGAGTGCCTGCCATTGAGAGGAAGCACTGGGTACCGAGTTCGAGTCCTGGTCTTGGACCAAAATATAATCTCATGTAACTCCTGCACCTGTACTGCCGGGCGCTGGTGGCTACGCAGGAGTCTGAGACAGGATCTCGGTTCAACGCCAGCCTGGGCAGGAAGGTCTGTGAGACTTACCTCCGATTAGCCCCCAAGGCTGGGGCGGAGCCGGCCAGGCTGGAGCCGGCGGCGCGCAGCCCTCAGTGGCCTGTGTGGGCCCGCAGGGTTACTACAGGCGGACCCCGGCCTACATCCCGATCCGCAAGCGAGAGCGGCGGGGCTGCTTCGCGGTGCCCATGGTGCACTCCACCCTCCTCATCGACTTGCGGAAGGCCGCGTCCCGGAGCCTGGCCTTCTACCCGCCCCACCCCGACTACACCTGGTCCTTCGACGACATCATGGTCTTCGCCTTCTCCTGCAAGCAGGCGGGTAGGGCGCAGGGCGGGGGGCGCGGGGGTGCGGGGCACGCGGGGGCGCGGGGCACGCGGGGCTGCGGGCTGCGCCTCCCCAGGGCGCCGGCCGGCCGTCGGGGCCCGCAGGGCACGGCCGCACCTCACACACCGGTGTTCCGAGCGAGGGCGCAGGGCCGGGCAGGCCTCGCCTCCCCTCGGGTCTCACAAGGCGGATAACGGACCTTGGGAAGTTACGTTAGAAGCCACGGTTGGTTTCTGGAGTTTTCCATCCAGTATTGTCAGAGCGGATAGCGAAACCACGGAAGTGAAACCTCGACTCGGAGCCGAGTGGGGAAGACATTTCCTGAAGAAAAACGAGGTGCCCTGTGCCCCCTGGGGAACCCCAAAGCAGAAGTTGGGGTTCTGTGCCTGCTTCTGTCCTGCAAGCGGCTCTTCCGCTTCGTAGCTGACAGCGGCTGAAGCTTTGTGACCGGACTGAACCTCGGCCGCGGGAGGCCGGAGGCTGGCCGGGGAGGCCGGAAGCGGGAGGCTGGCCTCAGCGTGGCCGCGCCCCGCCGGAGGGGAGGAGTCTCATCCGGGCTGGGATGGGGGCTCCATGGTGGAGCGCTCGCCTCGCATGTGTGAGGCCCTGGGTTCGAGTTCTCAGCACCACAGAAGCAGAAAAGGCCGGAAGTGGCGCGGTGGCTCAGGTGGCAGGGCGCAGCCTTGAGCTGAAGCGCCCAGGCCAGGGTTCAGGCCCCGCCAGGGACCGCGCGGAGGAGCCGCCCGCCAAGCAGGGCCGCGCGGAGGGGAGACCCCGGCCCAGGGCGGCTCTGCTCTCCGCCCGGGTTTCTGGCCGGCTGGCTGGAGGGTCCTCACTGAGGGGCCAGCGGGCCGCCTCGGCCCCCGTGGCCGGCCTGACACGCCTCCCTCCCGGCAGAGGTGCAGATGTACGTGTGCAACAGGGAGGTATTCGGCTTCCTGCCCGTGCCGCTGCGCGCCCACAGCACTCTGCGGGACGAGGCCGAGAGCTTCCTGCACACGCAGCTGGAGGTCATGGGTGAGTTGTCCTGCACACGCAGCTGGAGGTCATGGGTGAGTTGTGCCCCTCCGCCTCCCGGGCCCGGGGTTTGCGTGTGGCGCGCTGGCTGGCGGGGGAGCCTGGGCGGGCTTCCTGGCGGAGGCGGCCGGGATCGAGGCCCGGCCGGGATCGAGGCCCGGAGCGTGAGCGTCTGCAGAGCCACTGTGCTCTCGCAGGAGCCTCCCACCGCTGCCACTGCTCATTTGCATAGTCGCGGATATTTGCATAGCCCCTGACAGCGTGGCCCCGCCCGCGTTGCGGCTGGCGCGTCCCCCACCCCGGCTGAGGGGGCGTGGCCCCACGCCTGTGGGAGGAGCCCTGTTCTGAGCGCCCGGGGCACACAGCCGTCCCCAGCCGCTTTACGGGCGAGGTCTGGGTTGGGTCGGGTCCTCCGCCCAGGAGCCCCACGCGGCCCGAACCAGCCCTGAGCTGGGCCGCGGGGGACAGGTGAGCCACCTGACCCGCGTCCTCCCCAGGGGCTCATGGGACAGAAGGGGGCCAGGCCGGGCTGGGGACCCGCGCGGAAGCCAAGAGCTGCCTGACCCAGTCTAGGGGGTCTGCGTCCCCCCCAGCCCTGCATGAGTAGGGACCCCGGGGCCAGAATGGGTGGGGTGAGGTCCACAGGCAGGGCGCCCTGGCTGGAGACCCGGAGTCCCCAACCCAGGCCCCCCGGATTCCTCTGCCCCCCAGTGAAGCACCCGCCTGTGGCCTACTCGCGCTTCATCTCTGCGCCCACCAGGACCCCCGACAAGATGGGCTTCGACGAGGTGGGCCGAGTTCGGGAGGGGGGAGGGCCGGGGTCGGGCTGGGGCCGGGCCGGGCGCGTCCTGACGTCACAGGCCGGGCGTGCGCGCCAGGTGTTCCTGATCAACCTGCAGCGGCGTCAGGACCGGCGGGCGCGCATGCTGCGGGCGCTGGAGGAGCAGGAGATCGCCTGCCGCCTGGTGGACGCGGTGGACGGCAAGTGAGCGCGGGACGGGGGCGGGGGGCAGCCCGCAGGGTGAGGGCTGGGGGCGGGACGCAGGGGGCGTCTTCCTGACTCCTCCCCCTCCTCCTCTCCCCCTCCGTCCCCCTCCCCCCCAGAGCCATGAACACCAGCCAGGTGGAGGCGCTGGGCATCCAGATGCTGCCGGGCTACCGCGACCCCTACCACGGGCGGCCGCTGACCAAGGGCGAGCTGGGCTGCTTCCTCAGCCACTACGGCATCTGGAAGGAGGTGGGGCCCGGGGCTCTGGGGGGCTCTGCTGGGGTCCGGGGGCTCTGGGGGGCTCTGCTGCGTCTCGGGTTCTCCGCAGCTCTGGCCTCAGGGCCCGGCTGGCCTCGAACCCTTTCCTCAGGTTGTGGACCGGGGGCTGCAGAAGTCCCTCGTGTTTGAGGACGACCTGCGCTTTGAGATCTTCTTCAAGAGGCGCCTGATGAACCTCATGGAGGATGTGGAGCGCGAGGGCCTGGACTGGGACCTCATGTGAGCGGGCGGGCCGGGCCGGGCCAGTGCTAGGGGTGTGGTCATGTGCTGGGGCGGGGCCAGGGAACGGGATGTGAGTGGGGGGCTAGGGCGTGGCCAAGGGCGATTGTGGTTGTGGATACGGTGGGGAAAAATCTAAGGGGTGGGGCCATAGGTGGGGCCAGGAAACGAGGCCAGGACTGGGCCGTGACCTGGGGGAGTGGTCATGGGTAGGGAGTGGCCAGTGCAAGGGGGTGTGTCATGGGCGGGGCCAGACCAGGGAACAGGATACCTGGACTGGGATGAGTGGTACTGGGCGAGGCCAGTGTTGGGGGTGTGTGGCCATGTGTGTGGGCGGGGCTCGGGAGTAGGAGACCTGGACTGGGATGTGAACTGGTCCAGGCCCGGACGTTGCCCTCTTTCTGCCTCCGTGGGGGGGCTCGTTCCCCACTCCAGGCCCTGCTGCGCCCTCTGGTCCGCGGGGGTCCTGCCTGCTCCCGGCCCTGCGAGCCCCTGGTTTGGGGCAGGGGCGGGGGTGGGGTCTCGCGTGTTCCCCGGTAGGCGGGCGGGGGTGACGGCCCCCTCTGCCCCCAGCTACGTGGGCCGGAAGCGGATGCAGGTGGAGCACCCCGAGAAGGCGGTGCCCCGTGTGCGGAACCTGGTGGAGGCTGACTACTCGTACTGGACGCTGGGCTACGCCCTTTCCCTGCGGGGCGCGCGCAAGCTGCTGGCCGCGCGGCCGCTGGCCAAGATGCTGCCCGTGGACGAGTTCCTGCCGGTCATGTTCGACAAGCACCCGGTGTAAGGGGCCGCGCGGGGCGGGGGGGGGGGCGTAGGGGGCCCTTCCCGCCACCCTGAGGCCCAGGCCCGGACCCCGCACCGAGCCCCGCGCCCCTCCTTCCCGCACCCCGCAGGTCCGAGTATAAGGCCCACTTCTCCCCGCGGGACCTGCGCGCCTTCTCGGTGGAGCCACTCTTGCTCTTCCCCACGCACTACACGGGGGACGACGGCTACGTGAGCGACACGGAGACGTCGGTGGTGTGGGACAACGAGGGCGTCCAGACCGACTGGGACCGCGCCAAGTCCCAGAAGATGCGGGAGCAGCAGGCGCTGAGCCGCGAGGCCGAGAACTCGGACGTGCTGCAGTCCCCGCTGGACAGCGCAGCGCGGGACGAGCTCTGAGCCGCGCCACGCGCTCGTGGTTCTTCACCCAAGTATTTATTGAGTGCCCACCGCGTGCGGGGCTCGGGGAACGCTGCGTGGGCAGCCGGCGCTCGGGCTCACGCTGTGAGAGGCGCCGAGCCCCGCGCCCCCGGTGCCCTCCGTCCCCACGGCCAGAGCGGGGCGCGGCGATGGCCAGCAACAACCCACGGACCGTGCGCCGGAGCGCGGGAACAGAACCTGCCCGCGGAGCGCAGAGCGCACCATCAGGGCCTGGCCCCCGCGGAGGAGCGGCCACTGCAGGACGCCGGCGGGGCTGGGTTTCCGGCCGGTCAGGGGCGGCCTCCTGATCCATCCGTCTCCACCTGTTGTCAGGACAGTGGGGTCCTGTGATCGGGGTCCGCCTTGGACAGCGGCCCCCGCCAGAACTGACCCCTCCCGGCAGGAGCCGGCCTGCTGTCCTCCAGTGCCCGGTGCTAGTGCGTGACTTGTCATTAAATGTTCCCGGTGGGTTGTGCGAGTCGTTCCTCCCCCCTCCCCCCCCCCCCCCCCCCGTGCCAGGCCGGGCCCTGGGGGGGGACGGCGCCCGGTGTGGACTCGGTGCCGCCTATCCGCGGGCGGGATTGGAACACGCAGCGCTCGGGGAATCCCCTTCCAGCCAGGGGTCACCTGGCCTCGGTGACGTCCACGATCGCCCCCAAAACAAGGCCCCTGGGGTGCGGCTCAGGGTCCACAGCTCCGAGTTCAGCCACCGCCCGGCCCAAGGGCGGAGGTCGGCGTGGGGGCGACCCCGGCCCCCGGGGTCCACCGGGGCTTTCACCCCAGGGGGGACGGGATGGGGATTGCAGGATTAATTGCCGGGCAATTAGCAGCCGTCAGGCCCAGACACGTGGTGCGGTTCGCCCCAGGGGCTCGCGCCTGGGCCCCTGCCCTCCACACAGGCCCGGGGTTCGAACTCCGGCCCTCGAGCGCCCTCCCGGCCCCGCGGTCCCCGCCGCGCTCTTGTCTTTTCCTACGTTGTTTTCTTTTTTTAATGTCTGCCGTTAGTAAAATATCCTCAGAGACCGGAGTCGGAGCAGTGCAAAACATCTCCACACCATGCATTCGTGACTTCCAGGCGCCGTCGGAGCGTCGGTTACAGAGCGAGTGCTCACGGGGATTACATGCTACGTCGGGAGGGGCGCCCCGCGGGGCGGGCGGGGCCGGGGGCGCCGCGGGGCGGGCCGGGGTCTGGCTCGACAGTGTCAACTCGATCTCTAGAAAAGGCGAAGAGAAAGCGTCGGGGGTGGCGACTTTGGTCCTGAACGATCCTGACGTCTGGCGGCGGAGGGGCGGGGCCGGCGCCCCGCCCACCGGACCCCGCCCCTCGAGCGCGGACGCCCCGCCCCCTGCGCGGTCCGGGACCCAGCCCAGGCCGGAGTCGCGTTTTTTGCATCTCTGATGGAAGGACTTGGTGTCGGGTAGGGTCCGGGACTCCGGGCATGCGCGCTGGCGGCCGGTGCGTGCGCCCTCCGGCCCCGCCCCGTCGGGGGCGGAGCCCCGCTGTCCCTCGCCAGTCCCGCGGCAATCCTGACTCCCCGCGGAAATGATGCGGAGACCCCACGGGACAGAGCCGCGGCTCGGCCCCCTCCGGGCAAGCCGGGCCCCGGGCTCCCCGTTTCCCGGCGCCGGCCTGATACCTTCCGCCCCAGGTCTGCGTGGGAGCCCTGCAGGCACACACGCGTGCGCGGCCGGCCACGCGCAGCCTCCTGCCGACCGCTGTGCTGCCCGCAGCCGAGGTTCCCGGGGCCGCTCTGAGGAGCTGGAGAGGCAGAGGCGCCCGGGGCCGCACGGCGGGGTTGTGTGCGTGTGTGATGTTTTGAAGGATGAGTAGGAGTTCTCTGGGTAAAAGAGGGGGGCTGTCCAGTTCATCGCACTAATACTCCCTGACGCCCCCCGGCCCCTCCGGCCCCCGTCTGTGCGGCAGTCGTCAGGCCCCGGGCGGAGCTCCCCCCGGGCCCGCCCGCCCCGCACGCAAACCCTCCCCCGGTGAGGCCCTGCGGGAGTTAGCAGCAGCGGGAAGCTCAGCCCGCGCGGGCCTCGGCGGGAGCGCGCGGCCTGGGAGCGCGCCCGGCCCCCGGAGTGGGCGCCCCAGGGCGCGTGTGCTTTTGAATCCCGCCCGCCTGGCGAAGCCCCGGCGACGCGGGCCTCGCCGCGCTCCGCAGCGCTCCGGGAACCGCGGAGCGCGGTGCGTGCTTGGCAATGGTCTTGGGCCCCAGGGCTCTGGGACCCGCTTATGGCTTTTCCGACGCCAGGAGGCGAAGTCCCCGGTACCGGAGCCCCGGGACGCGACCTCCTTCCAGGGGCGGGTCTTACTCCGTCCCAGCTCCGGGCCCCGGGGGCGGGGCGGGGCCAGAGGGGCGGGGCGTCGTTCTTCCGCGCCAGCACGTGACCTCGTGAGAGGGCGGGATCACAAGGCCCCCGGAGGCCAAGGCGCAGGCGCAGTCGCCCTCTTCGCCCCGCCCGGGAGGCTTCGGGGCGAGGGCGGGGCCAGAGCCCAAGCCCCACCCGCGGCCGCACCACGCGTTCCGCGCGGGCGCAGCGCCGTCCCGCCCCGCGCTAAGGCGCAGGTGCGGCACCGCCCTCCTCCGCAGAGCGCGTGTCCGACTTGAGCTTGACGAACTCCTTGGCCACCTCGTCGTTGCTGCGCTGCGAGAGGATGCGCAGCACGGTGAGGCCCGTGTCGTCCATGTGGATGCGGCGGCCGAGCGGCAGCCAGCACGCGGCGCTCCCGCGCTGGGCCAGCTCGCGCAGCTGCAGCACGGCCAGCCCCACCGTGCGGTCCTCGCGCGCGAAGCAGTAGTCCTTGACGCACACCTGCAGCTCGTAGCACTCGGGGCCCGCGTCGGCGCTGAGCGTGCTGCGGGGAGGAGGGCGCGGCGTGAGGGAGGCCCCGCCCCTGCGCCCTCTGACCACGCCCACCCCACTTCTGCAGTGGTTTGGGGGCCTCCGCCTCCTGCCCAGCCCCCAGGAGTCCACACTCCGGTCCCACCGCCTTCGTCCGCCACTCCCTCCTGAGCTCCTAGACCACGCCCCCTCCGCTCTCGGGCACGCCCCCCACGCTCATGCCACACCCTCCCGAGATTTCACGCGACCACGCCCACCACCCCTTCCCGGCCACGCCCAGCATTCTAGCTCTGCCCCGGCCACGCCCCACGCACGCTGGCTACGCCTGCGCAGTTGTGGCTCCTCCTCAGAGGCGGTCCTTAGGCGCCACGTGTGCGGGGCTGCCAGGGCCGCGGGCCGCTGGAGGCCGCCCCGCGCGGAGGGCCCCGACGGCCCCGCCGGCCCCGTCCCCTGCCCGTCCCGGACTCACAACTGCACGCTCTCGTTGTACTTGGGCGCCCAGCTGTTGTTCTTGGACTTGGTGGCGAACTTGCGCTTCTTGTCGCTGAGCTGGGGCCCGATGATGTTGACCTCGATGAACGGCCGGAAGATGCCCGAAGTCTGCCACTTGAGGTCGTTGGCCGCCACCACTGTGGGGAGAGGCGCGGTCGCCGGGCGGAGCCGGCGGCCCGGGCCCGGCGCTCCGTGAGTGAGGCCACGGCCCGCGTCCACGCCCAGCGCCCGCGCACACGAGTGCGCACGCGCGCACAGCGGGGCCGAGCCTAACCCGACTCCAGGCGGGGAAAGCAGCCCAGCTGGCATGCTCGCGAAGAGAAGCAAAGCGGGTGGAAGGAGGCAGCCGTGGAGGAGGACGGACACGCGGAGGACGGACACGCGGAGGACGGACACGCGGAGGAGGACGGACACGCGGAGGACGGACACGCGGAGGAGGACGGACACGCGGAGGACGGACACGCGGAGGAGGACGGACACGCGGAGGAGGACGGACACGCGGAGGACGGACACGCGGAGGAGGACGGACACGCGGAGGACGGACACGCGGAGGAGGACGGACACGGAGGAGGACGGACACGCGGAGGACGGACACGGAGGAGAACGGACACGGAGGAGGACGGACACGGAGGAGGACGGACACGCGGAGGAGGACGGACACGCGGAGGAGGACGGACACGCGGAGGAGGACGGACACGCGGAGGAGGACGGACACGGAGGAGGACGGACACGGAGGAGGACGGACACGCGGAGGAGGGCGCCTTGGAGCTGCGACCCTGCCGCCTGCAGCCAGGCCTGCGGGAGGCCCCCGGGTACCCGAGCCCCCGCTGGCCTGGGTCCTGTCCGCCTGTCCGTCCGCCCTTCGGGATGGCGGTTCCGGCCACTCTGCAACACTCACCTTTCACTGTGACCTTCTGCTCCCCGGTTCCCGGGTGGGTGAAGAGCTCGACGTGGACCGAGACCTCCCCGACGGGGTCTTCCACCCCCGAGCCTGCGTGGCAGGGAGGGCGCTCCGCGTGAGTCCCTCGGAGCGTGCCGCGGCAGGGACCCCACCCCAGTGCTGGCGGCACGGGTCCTCAGCCCGTGGGGGCACGGGGACCGCGAGTCCGGGGCACTGGCCTGCACACGCTGCTGTGTGGTCTCAGCCTCCTGCCGCTGCCTTCCTCTCCCCACACGCAATGGCTGCGCTGCCCTGTCCGCCCTTGCACCATCTGGCGCCCTGGCCTCCTCTGGGCTGGGGCAGCGACACACTTTCCAGACGTGCCCCTGACCTGCCTGGCACGTCTCACCCGCTCTGGTCCCCTTCACCGCCTCTGCCTCTTCTTCGCTCTCCTGCCCCCTAAGTGCCGGCACAATGGAAGCCTCTGTGGGCTCAGCTCCACCCCAGGACTCCTGGACTGTCGCCTTTCCCAGCTGCTCTACACACCCCAGGTCAGACCAGGTCCCGCCCCAGGTCAGAGCCCCACAACCTTCTCTCCCCGTGGGAAAGTCTGCAGCACCCCAAGGTGCCCCCCTTGTCCTGCCTACAACTTGATCCACCCCACCACCACCACAGCTACTCAGCCAGGTGGTCAGAGTCCTGGTCCTCCCAAAGCAGCCGCTCTGTCTAGGTATTTCTCATCCTCCCTATTTGCCTCCCAGTCTAATAAATTCTCAGGTTTCCACAGGAAACATCCACCCTTGCCTGAGACCCTGTGGCTCAGGTTCACTCGAGAGGGCTGATGAGCCACAGCTGTCTAATCAGAGCACTTCTTGCCTCTGGCTACGGAGACTGGCCACACTTTGTTCACGTGACCCTAGTTAGGCCAATAGGAGATGGCTCTGAGAGTTTGGCTTCTGTCAAACACTTTGTCCTGCAAGGCACCTGTGGCTCACAGCTGTAATCCTACTGGGGGGGGGGGTGAGATCTGAGGTTCAAAGCCAGCCCAGGGAGGAAAGCTCATGAGATTCTTATCTCCAACTAACCACCAAAAAGCTGGAAGTAGAGCTGTGGCTCAAGTGGCAGAGCACTAGGCTGGAGCACAGAAGCTCAGGGTCAGCGAGGACTGGCACCAAGCAAACAAACACAACTTTGTCCTTCTCTGGTGCTAAACCAATAAGGAGAACTACGCCCCACAAAAGTCTCCAATAGCATTGATCAATAGCATCGCTGGAGACTTGAGCCAGCCATTCCTGACACCAACACCCACCCTTCAGGTCCATGGCCCACACCTGTGTGCTCTGGTTGTCATGGTGATGAGCATCTTTCTATCCTCCATTAGTGTCCCAAATGCACACTTCACAACACACAGCACCAAAGCGTGCATCCCAGACCCGCTTCCTCACTCATCCGGCCGGACTTGTGACCGCCAGCACCCCCACCGGGCCCCCCAACTGGCTCCCCACTCCTGGAGCACCCCATGCACAGGGACGGGGACAGAGGAGCAGTGGCAGGAAGGGGGGGGAGGTACTCAGCCAGAGGCTGACCCAGGTGACCTGGCAGGGGAGGAAGTGGCTGCGGGTCAGCGAGCACGGGGAGGGGGGCTGGTTCCGGTCAAGGCCAGGGTCGCGGCCCCCAGGCGGCCCTCCTTCCCACCTCAGGCACAGTCACATGCTCACCCCCACCCCCAGGCTGATGCTTCTAGCAGGCTCCATCCCAGCCAGACTGGGGTGTTGTGGTGGGTTGGGTGGAGGTCAGACCAAGGTCAAAGC